ATTATTGTCATCATTATTATACCCCCGCTCCGAAGGAAAGGGGGGTATACTGTTTTACCCTTGTGTGTCTGTCTGTCTGTCCGTCTGTCTGTGTGTCAGTCTGTCTGCCTGTCCGTAACAAAATTTTCGTCACAGTTTTCTCAGCAACTACTCTTCGCAGATGCTTGAAATTTTAGCACACTCTTTGTTTAGGCATGCCATATTGTGGGATTCATTTTTGTACGAATCTGACGTCAACTTCTTGTTCATTCTTGTCTCTGTCCATAACTGAACTTGTGTACATTCACGTCAAAGCGGGGGTATTACTAGTGAGCATTGGCTCACAGACTTCTTTTTTTTTAATTCTTTTGAATGCCATTTAAACATTGAATTGTGAAGTGTAGATACATGTAGTATTACATGTACTGCAATAACTATTTTCGATAGGTCTTTCTTTGTTAACACGATAAAATGCACTATTCCATCCTAAAATGTTTTCAACTATGAAAACATTTTTATACCTTCTTCTGTGCCAACCCCAAAGTTGAGGGGTATTATTATCATAGTTTACAACTGATTATACGTCAAACGTATACGACAAATGTTTATTAAAATTAATTAAAATTAATAATAGTAATTGGCTATATGTTGACTTATAGATTTGAGTTTTCCACCTGTACACTGATGATTAATTGTGTCTCGAACTTGATTCTAATTGATTTTCATGGTCAAATTTCAAGAGTCAAGTACACACTTAAAGATCAAAATTTGTGAGTGAAAGAAAATTGTTTAAATATTGTTGTTTTTTATGGTAGGATGGTCCAAATACAGTATACAATACGTACCTCTTAAACCCTGAGAAGTTTATTGTGTGTAAATCTTGATTATAAGGCATAGGAAGTCATAGATGTAGTGTGTGTCATACGCAGGTACAGTTGTGGATGTTGTTTATAAGGCACAGGTACAGTCATGGATGTAGAATAAAGTGTGTGTACTGGACAGGTACAGTCGTGGATGTTGTTTATAAGGCACAGGTACAGTCATGGATGTAGAATAAAGTGTGTGTATTGCACAGGTACAGTCGAGGATGTTGTTTATAAGGCACAGGTACAGTCATGGATGTATAGTAAGATGTGTGTACTGGACAGGTACAGTCGTGGATGTTGTTTATAAGGCACAGGTACAGTCAGGGATGTAGAATAAAGTGTGTGTACTGGACAGGTACAGTCGTGGATGTTGTTTATAAGGCACAGGTACAGTCATGGATGTAGAATAAAGTGTGTGTACTGGACAGGTACAGTCGTGGATGTTGTTTATAAGGCACAGGTACAGTCATGGATGTAGAATAAAGTATGTATATATGCACAGGTACAGTCGTGGATGTTGTTTATAAGGCACAGGTACAGTCAGGGATGTAGAATAAAGTGTGTGTACTGGACAGGTACAGTCGTGGATGTTGTTTATAAGGCACAGGTACAGTCAGGGATGTAGAGTAAGATGTGTGTACTGGACAGATACAGTCGTGGATGTTGTTTATAAGGCACAGGTACAGTCATGGATGTAGAATAAAGTGTGTATATATGCACAGGTACAGTCATGGATGTTGTTTATAAGGCACAGGTACAGTTATGGATGTAGAATAAAGTGTGTATATATGCACAGGTACAGTCGTGGATGTTGTTTATAAGGCACAGGTACAGTTATGGATGTAGAATAAAGTGTGTGTACTGGACAGGTACAGTCGTGGATGTTGTTTATAAGGCACAGGTACAGTCAGGGATGTTGTTTATAAGGTACAGGTACAGTCATGGATGTAGAGTAAGATGTGTATACTGCACAGGTACAGTCGTGGATGTTGTTTATAAGGCACAGGTACAGTCATGGATGTATAGTAAGATGTGTGTACTGGACAGGTACAGTCGTGGATGTTGTTTATAAGGCACAGGTACAGTCAGGGATGTATAGTAAGATGTGTGTACTGGACAGGTACAGTCGTGGATGTTGTTTATAAGGCACAGGTACAGTCAGGGATGTAGAATAAAGTGTGTATATATGCACAGGTACAGTCGTGGATGTTGTTTATAAGGCACAGGTACAGTCATGGATGTAGAATAAAGTATGTATATATGCACAGGTACAGTCGTGGATGTTGTTTATAAGGCACAGGTACAGTCATGGATGTAGAATAAAGTGTGTGTACTGGACAGGTACAGTCGTGGATGTTGTTTATAAGGCACAGGTACAGTCAGGGATGTAGAGTAAGATGTGTGTACTGGACAGATACAGTCGTGGATGTTGTTTATAAGGCACAGGTACAGTCATGGATGTAGAATAAAGTGTGTATATATGCACAGGTACAGTCGTGGATGTTGTTTATAAGGCACAGGTACAGTTATGGATGTAGAATAAAGTGTGTATATATGCACAGGTACAGTCGTGGATGTTGTTTATAAGGCACAGGTACAGTTATGGATGTAGAATAAAGTGTGTGTACTGGACAGGTACAGTCGTGGATGTTGTTTATAAGGCACAGGTACAGTCATGGATCTAGAATAAAGTGTGTGTACTGGACAGGTACAGTCATGGATGTTGTTTATAAGCACAGGCACAGTCATGGATCTAGAATAAAGTGTGTGTACTGGACAGGTACAGTCATGGATGTTGTTTATAAGCACAGGCACAGTCATGGATGTAGAATAAAGTGTGTGTACTGGACAGGTACAGTCGTGGATGTTGTCAATCAGACACCGGTACAGTTGTCAGGACAGGTACAGTTGTTGATGTTGCATCCCAAGAAATTCCTTACGTTTTTATAAAGGTGCTATTGACGCTTTTCACCGATATTCCCTATAGATTGATTCCAGACAACTGATTGCAGAATCTTAGAGAGGCGGATCTAATAAGAATATTTACTTATACAAATATTTTCTTCGGATGTTATCGATAATTATAGCATTAATTTCCTTTAATATGAGCAATTATTTTAATACCATACCCTACATATTTCAGGTATCACGCCACGGTTATCGACCAGTCATGATGTTAATTGTTCCATGCATATAAAATTAATTTTTATTTCTTTTGAGAATTTTTTTTTTTTGGGGGGGGGGGGGGGTCTTCCAGCTTATTTTTACAACTTTGATACCTGTGCCTAGTAAATTTTATGTACTTTGTAAATAAATAATTTTTTTTGTCAGGAACTATTCTTTTTCAGGGCATTGGAGGCTATTTCCTGGGGTGCACTTGAGATGTTTATATATAACTCATTGAAAACGGGTGGATCAGCCCATTCCACCCGTATATATCGTAAGACATACAAATGTATATATATGGGGAAAAAAACCTGTGCTTTTCATTGACACCACTTGCGTGATCAATAAAATGGGTGAAATTAATAATATTGTGACGTACTTATACTTTCTAACATAAAATTAAGGATTACAAATTAATTTCAATATGTATTTTAATTTCCTTTTTTATTTTACTTTGTTTATTGTTTACTCGTATATTTTCTATAATTATACTAGGATGTTTCATTTTAAATTCATCATTATTATTGAGCACGTAGGATATTGAAATCATGCCCCCAGCCCCCCCCCCCCCCCCAAAAAAAAAAAAAAAAAATTAAAGACCTGGCTCATATTGTACTCTGAACATAAAGCTGTAAAAGTTTTGGATCTTTCCCTAATCACTGCTGTCATCGTTTGTCTCGGTATCACTGTCATGGGTAATATAAAGATTAGCGTTAATTGCGCTTTGATTGAATTCATTCTAAATTTAAATCGGAGAAAATCCACAGAATTTTTTGTCGTGGATGTTATTAATCAAGCGCGGGTTGAGTCAGTGGTAGTGTGTATGTACGGCACAGGTACATTCGCAGATGGTGTATATCAGGCACAGGTATACAGTCATAGATATACAAAATTTAGGCATAGTCAAGTTTACATATATTTTCCGCGATATATTCACTAAGCCAGTTATCGTTACCGTTTTGGCGATTACAGCCTTCCATAAAGTAGATTTATTTAAAATCAGAAATTTTCTTTCCTCCATATTAACACATTTCGTATTTTTCATTAAAAAACAATCCATACTTAATTAAAAACATATAGTTTAATATGTTGAACAATCCGGAAAATCTTGCTCTGACATTCCGTTTTTGATATTAGTGAGCAGGTACAGTCATGGATGTCCGGTACCAGCACTGCCGAGTACAGTTGCGGATGTTAGCTGACAGACCCCACTCCCGCATGGCGCAGTGGTTAGAGCATCTGCTCTAGAGTCGCGGAGTAAGCTAGGAACTAGTTGATCCTTACGTCGCGGATTCGAATCCCACTGCTGGATGTGGAAACCGGTCCTTCGGATGAGACCGTGTAAACCGAGGTCCCGTGTCGCAGTAGGTGCTGGCACGAAAAAGATCCCTCACTGCTTAATGGCCCTAAGTGCCGAGTATAGGTCATAATTTGTAGCCCTCCACCGGCAAGTGGTGGCGTATCCATATGAGAGAAAAATTCTCGAGAGGGACGTTAAACAACAAACAATCAATCAATCTGTCCAGAGAAGGACAGCAGGACCAAATTTACTCAGATGAGCGTTGTGGCCCATGGGCCTCTTCTTGTTTCTATGAACACACATGATGAAGTCACAAACTATTGCTAAAGTTCTGCAATTTTTTTTAAACAGTAATAAAAACAATGTTATTAAAGTTCATATCTAAATGTAGCGAACAATTTATATTAATAATTTTTAATAAGTTTTCCGCTTATGGTGACGGAGTTTGGATAGTCGGGGATACACATGTAATTCGGAGTTAGATACCTTGTGCTATTATATTATAGGCCTATAGGATAGAAAATTATTACAGAAGCAAGTGCCTGTGGCACGTACATGTTCAAGCATACATAGTAGCTACGCCACTGATCAATGATCTTGATCCGCCCCTCAACTCAGACAAAGCGCTTTGGAGACTATGATGCAAATAAGCATGTGTGTGAAATCAACGCAAACATCGAAAAAAAGAAGTGTGTAGGAAATGATGATCTCACATTGAAAGCATTTAACAACAGCACGGGTGTAGGTGTTACATTGTACAGAGAAATCCGGTGGTTAAATCTATTAAACGTAGTCAATATAGAGTGTTGAAGCCAAAGCTCGAATTTTCTCCTTGTGTAACGACTATACAGCAGGATCCTAATTTAGGACAGAAGATATTTACTTTCGGTATGTCTCATATAAATGAAAAATGTAGACATGTATAAAGTCGACATGACATTCAACGTGTATGTAGTTGAAGGGGTAAGGAAGGAAAGTATTGCATTGTCAAATGATACTATACTAATATAAACAGGTTGTTAAGCATGTCAGCCGTATGTTATGGAAGCCTCAACTGCCATTAGTTATGAGGCTTCTGTTGACAACATTAATATTGTGATGATACTTCACCATTATATGCTGAAACTTCGTCATAATATGATATTTTGTATTTATGTACTGATTCGTCTCCATTATACATGTATGCTGATACTTTTTCTTTATATCTTTTTTTACATTACATGATGTTACCTTGATATTACCTGTTGTCAGCAAATATGTTTATTTACTTCATTGCATATATTTCAGATATAAAAGTACAACATGAAGTATTGCAAAGACTTGAATTTCACTCAGACGTGGGTAAACCAAGGACTGAATCCATGTTTCATTGATACTGTCACCTCAGGCATATTATTCCTTCACATTTTGTTATTTGGCTGCATCCAATGTTCACTGTACAGAAAATATGCCACCAAACTGCCCGAGAAAAACCTTCCAGGTTCCTGTGGATTCACCCTGCAGGTCATGCTGAGCTTTATTCTCATGCTGGAGGCTGTAATTCACACAATTCTCTGTGACACCTCCATACGCGATCAGACTGTAGCGGGGTACCAGGTTTTTACCGCCATTGCCCTGGTTTACTGCTGGATAGCATCCATCAGGCTTTTGTTTTACGAGAGGAGACAGATGCTGCCCTCTATACCAACTCGAGGTCACGGCCTAATTTTACTGGTCTTCTGGAGCCTCGTTTTCATTAAGGAGAACTTGTCTTTTATATCATGGGAGAGTTCAAATTACTGGTGGTCCCTGAAGGGGTTAGTTTTGACAAATAACATCATGCGTAATGATAAAAATTATAAAGAATATTATTGTGTATGCTGTCCTATATTGTCTCATACATTGTGAAAAGTGTTAACTTGAATGTGTAAAACTAGCTCAGTCATTGTTCTAAAAAAATCAAAATTGAAACAAGGGAATATCCATATACATGTACATTAAATTTTTAAAGATATGCATCTGAGCTTTATTTAAGCAACTTCTATATTTAAAACTTACCTAATCTATTTAGGAAATATTTTTACTAATTTTTATTATTGTCAATTTTACAGGTACTCAGATCACATAGAATTAGGTCTGTGGATTGTTCGATACAGTTGTTCTTTGATGCTTCTGATTTTGGGATTTTTGGCTCCTGGTCTAAATAGAAACCTGTACCATCTTCTGACTGATGTAGAAAATGTAGGTAGTTATTAAGTAGGGAACTTGAAGTGATAGCATATCAGAAAGAGAGTATGAGCATGTCTGACAGAGAATGATAGCATGTCAGAGAGTAATATCATGTCAGACAGAGAGTCATAGCATATCAGAAGAGAGTATGCGCAAGTCAGACAGAGAGTATGAGCATGTCAGAGTCATAGCGTGTCAGACAGAGAGTGATAGCATGTCAGACAGAGAGTATGAGCATGTCAGAAAGAGAGTGATGGTATGTCTGGAAGAGAGTTATAGCATGTCAGAAAGAGAGTGATAGCATGTCAGAAAGAGAGTGATAGCATGTCAAAAAGAGAGTCATAGCAAGTCAGAAAGAGAGTATTAGCATGTCAGACAGAGAGTGATAGCATGTCAGACAGAGAGTCATAGCATGTCGGAAAGAGTCATGTCAGCATGAGTGTAATAGCATGTCAGACAGAGAGAGAGAACATTGAAATTCTTGTCATAATTTGGAATGTATTTGAAAAATATGTATTTAAAACTACACTTTTGGGCACAGGATATGCAATGTAGGCAAATGGCTGTCTCCAAAGCTGCACCCACATCCACAAGCCTTTGATTCAATACTTTAACTGTTTATAAAAAGATATGATAAATATAACAAGGGATTGGACAGTTTTTTAAAAATATGTAATTGTTTACTCATAAACCAATTTTTTTAAATACTTTGACTGCTGTGGCAGTTGAATGTATTTGTTCACCATTGGTCAAGTGGCTCAGTTGTTAGAGTACCTATCCACTGTCTAGAAATCAAGAATCCAGGGAACAAGTCCTGGCCTGGTCCATAGCAACTTCTCCTTTTCTATTACACTCTTAATGAACAATAATTTTTTTTTCCCCTACAGGGCCCCACTCCAGAAGTAGCACAGAATCAGTCTACTTGGAAGAATGTGTGGTCAAAACTTAAGGTTATGATTCCATTTGTATGGCCCAAGGGGAGCTATTGGAGGCAGGGGCTGGTCCTTGTCTGCCTGCTTCTTCTGGGGGCAGGGAGGGGGATAAATGTACTGGTCCCTCTCTACAGCAAATACATCAGTAAGATCTTTTAGATAAAAATTTATCTTATTATTTACGTACAGTCAACCTCATTATCTTGAACTTGATGGGACTCAGAAAAATCTTTGAAATATCAGAGGCTTCAGGAAAATGAGGTTAATATACTTTGCATAGAAAAAAGGTGGTTGGGACTTCCAATTCACTTTGACATATTCATGATATTCATTTAAGTTATCGATGTTCAAGATCCTGAAGTTCAAAAGTATTTCATAAATACCAAAATAGAGATGTTTTAAAAATCATAAAAAAGTTTGTTGCATTACAAACATATTGTAAATTTCATTTTTGTCCTTATATGGTTTATGCTAGATATAACTTTTCTTATCTACAGTAAACAGCCTGACTGTCCAACCCAACACACTTGGAGATGACCTTGCTGAATTGAAGGTCACGAGGCCAGAGTTTCGATATGATTATATACTCATTTATTGCTTACTTATTTTTCTCAAGGGAGGAGGAACAGGTAAAAATATCTACATTTATTTATTTTATATAATATACAGTAAAACTCAGTTTTAAAGAACTCACCTTAAAGGAAATCCCAATGATAAGGAAATTTTAATGAAATTTGTAGAAAACTTTACACTGTGTGACTTTTACAGATGTAAAGCCACTTAAGAGTCTTGGTTATGAGGAAAATGGGAAATCTCAGTGACTTTGTTTAGTTTGTTATAACCCAGTTTTGCTGTAATTGTAAAATGTGTACTGTATACATGTTTATGCATGTAGTGAAAGAACAATTTTGTACCTTTCATTCCTGAAATCTCTTGTAAATTTTTCAGTTTAATTCTGCTATTTGTAGGTACCACAGGGTTTTTAAACAATGCCAGGTCATTCCTATGGATACCAGTTCAACAGTATACAACTAGAAGAATCCAAGTTCGCTTGTTCAATCATTTACACAGGTATAGTTATTGTAATATTGCCATGGAGTTATATGTCAGTTAAAAACATTTAATTTACAAGCAGGTTCAAGTAAAAAAAGTGCATATGGCAGGGGCTGACAAATCCCATTGCCCGACACCCGGGACTAGTGAATTTTGGGGATGGGCATGTGAATTTTTATTAACCACTTGCGCGATGGCAAGTGATTTTTCAAGAAAAAAAAATAATACGTCTTAGTTTTAAGTGGAAATGGGCACTTGTAATAATCATTTTTTGTCTTCCTATTTTCATAGTTTATGGTGGGGCAAGTAAAATTTCAGGTATGGCAAGTGAATTTTGACCATGTACTCGCTCATGGGCAAGTACTTGAAAAGTCTATTTGTGTCAGCCCCTGTATGGATGTTTTTTTTAAATACAGCCTTAACCAAAACATATCATCTTTTGATTGACAGTAAGATTTATAAAACAAGTCCATCAAAAAATCATTTTTAAATTGCACACACTTCAAAAGTTATATTTCATGCTCTCTAGTAATAATTATTATGAGATTGATTCTAAGCTTTTTACTGCAATACTTTCATAATCCATCTCCTGTTTTAATAGATTGTCTCTGAGGTGGCATCTTCAGAGGAAGACGGGGGAAGTGTTACGAGTGATGGACCGAGGGACGAATAGTATCAACAATCTACTCAGGTATTCTTTACTTAAAATCATACTTATACAGTCAAAGCTCAGTATCTCAAACTTGCTGGAGCTGAAAAAAGACTTTGAAATATCCACTGATTCTAAATACTCAGGTTAAAAAATGGTTTTGATTCCCAAAATACATTAAAAACATATCCATGGTTTCTGAGATTTGATATATAAGATACCAAGGTATAAATGTATTTCACTTTTCAGTGATCTGAATAAAGGATTAACTAATACATGTGTATTCAAATATTTACATATTACATAAAAGCTCAAATGTTACTAAATGTAGATTTATAGCTGTAGGACTGTGTATGTGAAGTTCTAAGAATAATGAATATTCCATAGCATATCTCAAAAGAAATGAAATATATGCTTTAGGATTATTTTTATGCCCCCCCTTCGAGGGCATATTGCTTTGCTGCTGTCTGTTGGTCGGTCTCTGTCTGTCTGTCTGTCTGTCTGTCAGTTCACCAATAGTTTCCGTTCATTTTCTTCAGAGAGGTTGCACATACTGAAATACAATTTGGTATACAGATTTATCATAAGAATATCTAGGTCAAGTTCTGGTTTGGGTACGATCGAGCAATTTTTGACAGAGTTATGCTCCTTGGACTTAGAAAAATTCCAATTATTCGGTGGGGGGAGGGGGGGGGCATAAGTGTTTCACATACATCTCTTGTGATTATTAAATTCTTCCTAGGTGTTATTATAAAGAAACAGGAATATATCAACAGAATTATATTGATTTCATTATCAAATTAAGAAACTTTAAAATGATTTTGATCTTTTCTACTTAGTTACGTGGTGTTCCAGATCTTGCCAACAATCGTCGACATTATCATCGCTATCGTCTATTTCGTCACAGTTTTCAACTACATCTTTGGGCTTGTTGTCTTTCTCTGCATGGTTCTCTATCTAGGTCAGCATAACAAATTTATCTTAAAGAAAAATATTGACAATGCAGTAGCAATTTTTTTTTGTTAATCTATATAAAGAATTCCTTGTATCATGCTTCATGTATTTGTGAGTCAAACATTCAAAATTCCATTTTCTCTTTTATAATTTTCATTGAAACATGGTAATTTTTTTTGTTAGAGTATTTAATGTTTCTTTTTTATGTGCTTCAGCACAAATGTGCTACTTTTTGAAAGCTTGGTACACTTAGAAAAAAAAATAGAACTGAAATGATGACATTTAGGGGCATGCAATTGATGGATATGCTTCATTAAATGCTTCAGCTTAATTGATTTGGTCATTCATTTTCATGGAGCATATAATCATCAGAATGCTTTAATATGGACTAGGAAGTCCTGTTTGTCATCATAATTAATTATTAATTAGTTGGGCAGTAACTAAATTGTCTCTTTTACCTTAGCTGTTACCATTTGGATCACTGAATGGAGAACTAAATACAGACGAGAGATGAATAAACTGGACAATGAGAAAAACTCCAAGGCAGTGGATTCCCTGCTCAACTTTGAAACGGTAAATAAAGTTTAATTAATGATGGTTGATGGAGAATGAAATATAATTTTTTTATTTTAAAGTACATTAATTGTTGTCTTGGATATTTGAGAGGTCATCATATCCTAAAAAGGAGAATAATTATTTGTACATAATTTCCCAGGGTTTTTTTTAATCTTAATGAAATGTTTTAATGTTTGCATCACTTTATCTCTCAGGATATATCTTTGTCTTAAATTCGCTCTTTTAAGGTGCCTTTGTCCTACATGACTGTATATTGCTTTTCTGTCCACGTCTGTCTGCCTCGAAAGGTCTGTATTTTGTTGCATTCTTTAATATAATGTACTTTCCATTCTAGGTTAAATATTATGGAGCTTCAGAATTTGAGACTAACAGATTTGATACAGCAATAAAAGATTATCAGGTATACTTATAAATTACATGTACATGTTGAAGCAATAAGAAATGCATCTCTATTTTATCACTCAGAAATTAATTTGAAAGCTTCATATGTGTGGTAATAATCTTTAATTTTTTTTTTATAAAGAAAGTACCTAATATTTCTTTCTTTATTTTGAATGGATTTCTCTCATGAATGTATGTCTTTTTGGGAATTATATTGTTCAACCAACAAATTCTTAAAATTTTACACATTATTTGCATTTTATTTAAATTTAAAAAAAAAAAAAAATTCAAATTATGTGTTTAATTGGTGTGTACTTTAACAGGTGATGTTTGAGACAACTTTTTACCAAATTCTGTTTTTAGATTGCAGAGTGGAAATCGACTGCCTCGCTCAACCTCCTGAACTCCCTCCAGAACACGGTGATAACCTTCGGAACGATCAGTGGCTCTCTGTTGTGTGCATATGCAGTGGTGTACTCTATCAGTGACCTTCACCTCACGGTGGGGGACTACGTTCTGTTCGGGACGTACCTCAGTCAGCTGTATGGACCACTCAACTGGTTAGGAACTTATTACAGGTAAATACGAGTGCTTAGTGAATTTTTAAACTTACTAATATATGTATAAGAAACTAAAGTCAAATGTGAGTATCTTGAACTCATCAGAAATTGAACTTGTCCTTGAGATATCCAGGGTTTGAAATATTGAAGTTGAAAATCACAATGAAGAATAAATCAGAATCATAGATTCACTTTTGACATCCATGGTTTTTGACACATTAGTATTCAAAATATAGAGGCGTAACTGCAGAAAGCAATGAAATCATAGATACACTTTTAACATCCATTATTTCTTTGACATATGTGTCCTCTTACAAGATACATACAAACAGAAGCAAATGAAAAATAAAAAAAAATGATATTAGTATAAACTACACTAAAACCAGTTTTCAAAAAGTTTTAAAACATCATCGTTTAGGAGGCAAATGAGTGAAGTTTAAACTGACATGATTTTACCATGTGATAGTATTCGCATAATGTCAAATTTACCAGACTAGAGTGCAAGAAAGTCTCTGAGACAGGCATGTGTTCAAGTAATCAAAATAAGACTCAGATATACATGTATAATATACTTGAGATTATGGACTCACTTCAGAAACCCTTAGGATTTGATAAATCATTGTCCAAGATGCTGATATTCAGCCATATTTTATGTCTGTATTTCAGAATGATACAGCAGTCTTTCATTGATATGGAGAACATGTTTGAACTGTTGGATGAAAGTCAAGAGGTAAACTTTTTATCGCATCTTTTTTTCTGCAAATAATCTTTTACAGTGTACTATCAAAGGACAATTATGAGGGGTGATCAAAAAGTTTGCGAACTAATTGAATTACTTCCTTAAAAGAAATAAAATGAGGTATCAGCGTTCATTATTTTTTAAAGTAGTCCTCTCCAATGCTAATGCACATCTGCCATTGTTCTGCTCATGCACAAATCTTCAATGCTTCGTAGCGTTCTGTTCACAAAAGCTAAGAGATTAAACTTTACAGCCGTTCGTTGCTTGAGTACGACTGAGTCAACCGTTTTTTGTCACAAGTCACCTACATATTGATGTCATTTTCACATTGTGACGTCACAAACAGGGAGCAAAACTTTATATAACATCTGCTATTTATAGAACATGTGTATGACTATGTGTGTGCCAAATTTCATTCTGATCTGAATTGTGGTTTTGTCAATATAGAGATAGTTCGCGAACTTTTTGATCACCCCTCGAATTTTCCGGAGTTTTGGCCCTGATGACTTTTAATTATTAAATGAATAAATCAACATGTTGACATTGTCACAATATTAGCATCTTCCTTATCAAAATGTCAATTCTCTTACTGTCACCTCCTAATGAGATGAGAGTAAGCGAATCAGACACTTGGCTAGCAAAGATGCAATATTTGATAGATCTGATGTTAGATTCATTTTTTCCATCATGCAGATTAAAGATATCCCGGATGCTAAGAATATCGCAGTTACCAATGGTAAAATAGAATTCAGAAATGTCAACTTCCATTATGAAGAAAGGTAAATAATTGTTATTTGGCAGCTCTGGTTTCTATGTCATTACACAGTAGATCAAGTAGAGATCTAGTTCTCCTCAGAATTAATTGATAAATGACAAATTATGTTCTTTAAATTAGATATATTGTATGAAATCCCCAAAACATGTAGAATTTTGAACAAAGAAATTTAAGTACTCAGATATAGAGAAATTATATAGAAATATTTTTGCAGAATATTGAAATACTTTAATGTGAATTAAATATGCAGTACTTATTTCTGTTTATCTTGTCAGTAAAAAGATTCTGAAGGATGTTTCCTTTGTGGTACCAGCTGGACAGACTTTTGCACTAGTATGTAGCTTTTTCAATATTTTATAGTTATCACACACTCATCTTACTATATAAAATTAAACTTTTTTTTTCAAAGCCCATATTTTGTTGTCATTGTCAATTGCTTTCTTAGAAATTGCTGTATTTATAACTTCCATTCCAAAAACAAATTGACCATTTTCAACCAAATCTGTCACAATGATTTTCTTTGCATGGTAAAAAATCTTTCAATTTGTGGATACCTACATATTGATTCAATCATGAATGTTTATTATGAGATTTATGAAATTTACTCTGTACATTCAACTGTACTTGTAGGTAGGTCACTCGGGCAGTGGAAAGAGCACCATTATCAGACTGCTATTCAGATTTTATGATGTTATTTCAGGGAAGATCCTTATAGATGGTCAAGACATTTCACTGGTTAGTTTGAATTGAAGTGAAATATTCTCTTATTTGTTTAATTTGTCAGCCTTTAAACAATTTCATATACAGTCAAATTTTGTCATTTCAAACTTGATGGACCAAGATAAAACGTCCAGATATCAAGGATTTTAGATAATAAGGGCGAAAATCATAGAGAAAAAGTAGTTGTGACTGCCAACACACTGCTACATGTCCCTGGTATTTGAGATAATAAAATTCAACTGTTATTGTTAGAGGCATGTCAGTGTTGATACAAGTGGTAATACATGTACAATGACTTAATACTTATTGCAATATTGTACCTTTTAGTGCTTTTTGATTTTGAAGGTCAAACAAGAATCTCTCCGACAGCAAATTGGTGTTGTGCCCCAGGATACCGTCTTGTTTAATGCTGATATCCGCTATAATATACGTTATGGTAATGTTGACGCTAATGACAAACAGGTGGAAGAAGCAGCTGATAATGCAGATATTCATGAGAGAATTTTATCTTTTCCTGATGGTAAGGATGCATTTCTTCTTCACATTAAGATTGTAGAAAATAACTATTTAACTTTGTACTTTTATATATGTCTTTTAAAGCATTTCAGAAATATGCTAAATGCAATGTAAGGTTATGCTTATCTTATGAAGATAATATGGGTCCCACTTGAAAAGTGCTATGCAGTGATAAAATTTCCTCATGTCTGTCCCATATCACTTGTGTGTGAATATGTCTCTCCATATCATTTGTCTGCCAATATGTCTGTCCCATATCACTTGTCTGCCAATTTGTCTGTCCCATATAGCTCTTGTTTGCTGATATGTATTTCCAACAGAGCACTTGTCTACCAATATGTCTGTCACAGTCACACATATCACTTGTCTGCCAATATGTCTGTTCCATATACCACTTGTCTGATTCAAAAGTACATACATGTATGTACTAGTATATCTTTTTTACCTTTGATTCAGTATGTCTCTCACATCACCATACATTGTCTTTGAGTAAAGGATGTGTGCTGATGTCAAACCAAGTTTAACAATTTTAAAATGCATGACAAATGAATAAATTCATTTTTTTTGGCTATATTATAAGAAACATTTTGGTGAACTGGAGTCAATCTTTACACCTAATTCAACATCCTTCCAAAATAATGCATTATACTCTCTTAGTCAATTTAATAAGATCTACATACATTATTTTAAAACTGTTTTACAGGTTATAACACAGTGGTTGGGGAGAGAGGACTTAAGCTAAGTGGTGGAGAGAAACAGAGGGTGGCTATAGCCAGGACTATACTGAAGAACCCCCAGATTGTCCTGCTGGATGAGGTAATATTTAAATATTGTGGATTAATCTTATACTTGATTTGTTAGCATGTAATCAAAGGAAATTTTGAGTTTTATTTTTATCAGTTCTGACATTTCTTTAAATGGCTGGCTATTTTTTCTGTTGATAAAGAAACACTGAAGGTCCATGCTTGACACAAAGATTACCTTACATTTATATAAATTCATGACATCTACAGGTATGTCATAAACTGAACCAAGGTCAATTTGAGAAGGAAAAAGTCACTGACAGAGAAATATGTCTGACAGAAATATATGTCCATGTACATTGGAAGCCTCCTTCCAGCAAAACAAAGGCTTATGAAAGATTGGAATTTATATATGTTTGACCTAAAGACAGTTAATGGCTACTGGATGAGGAGATGTTAATAACTCTATTGCAGAGAACATTTAGTACATTAATGTTTTGTTTCACACATCTCAAGTCACACAGTAACCATCATAAATTAGTCGAATATGTGAATCTGACATTTGAGGGTTATTGTTTTATTACTGGCAGAAAACTCAAAAGAATAGATACAATGTAGTAGTAGATAGTATCATTCTGAGTGTGTGTTTATACACAGACCTCCATTCTTATTTTTTTTTTTCAGGCTACATCTGCGTTGGACACCAAGACAGAACGTAACATACAGACATCCCTGGAGAGAGTTTGTGAGAACAGGACTACCATAATTGTGGCTCACAGACTCTCCACCATTATACATGCTCATCAGATCCTAGTTATGAAAGAAGGGGTGATCGTAGAAAGGGGAACGTAAGTGTTACAAGATGGGAGTCAGTTTATTATACATGATCATTAGATCCAATTTATGAAACAGGGGTTGATTATTCAAATAAAAATTTAGCATTTATTTAAGGAATTTGTGTTTTTATCAAAAAGTCAAAGTTTTTCAACAGGTTGGTTTAATCAGTAATATGCCAGGTTTTTCTAATTTGTATGATATTCTGGAGAAAAAAAATTACATTGTCTTATGGATGTACATGTACATATTCATACTATATATATAATATAATATATGTACTATATTCAAGATCATTGTATTATACATTTATTGACTGGATTCGAGGGCAACATGCATGTTTTGTCGGACCAGAGAATCAAACAAATGTTTTGTTATATCTTTTACTTTTTTGGGGGGGAGGTATCTTGTGCTGGCTTTCATGATGTAAATTTCATTTACCCGCACTGGGGTTTAAACTTTTGGTCAATTCCGTAACAGTCAAACACCAATGAATGCAAATAAGAAATAGCTGATCCTGCCCACAGTGTAACGTAAGCGGTCCAATATCTCATTGACTGGGCCAGTATCTTGCTCTGTGGTGTCCAACATTGAGTTTTTTGGATTGCTCAGTAAATCACTGGAAATGTTAGACTTTTTTCAGTATAGATTTATATAGGAAACAGTTTTTAATAGCAAAACAATATCTGATATACCACATCAATATTTTTAAAATTATTATTAATTAAGCAGGTTTACTCAGCTCAGCAGCAGATTTTTTTTATAATAAACTAGATAGGAAGTACTCATACTTTTATAAACTTGTCTTTTATACTCAGCCTTTTCCTTTACAGTCATGATGAGCTTCTCCAAGTGAATGGTTTCTATGCCGACATGTGGCATCAACAGCTGACTAAGAAAGAGGAAGCGGGCGATGACAAACACAATGGGAACGGAACTGTCAGTTCAGGAAGTATAAATAATGATGCTGATGCTTCCTAAGTGCAGTTTATTCTGTCTTTCATGATCAGATTTAAATATTTTTTTTTCTTCAATTCTAATAGAAGGAATAATAATCAAATATATTATGTATTTATACCAGGTGTATGGTAATGTCTTGTGTATGCACTATTTGTTTAATTAATATTTTGTGATATTCAGTTGTCTTATTGTGCTTTTTTTCATAAACAAAGGATCTGATTTTAGATACATATTGAATTTTACATGTACCTTAATTTAAATTTGCCAATGTTCTGTCAGTCATAACCATACTCTTTAAATCTTGGATTTTACTTCATTTATAACTGCATCACTTCTCAACTGAAATAACCTTTGAACTATTTCATTGTGTCCTTATTTGGTCTCAGAGGATTAGAAAGAAAGAGGCAGAAGCTAGAATATGGGAGGTGATAAGTGATAAAGCAGTGTTATAGTTTTGGTGAAGTGTCATGTTGTAAATTTTGAATTTACTGGGTGGCAGTAAATACAAAATTAAAACATGACAGAAGTAAATGTATGCATAATAAATCATGTATCAAGTTTCATTAAGATAAGGTTTATAGTAATTTAGGTAAATTAAAATGTTATTGTGTAAGTCAAAAATGTCCATTTATAAGCATGTATCAGAGTTTTTACCAATTGAAAATTGAAATTCGTGTTGATTTCTAGCATGTCTCTTCACCACCAATGCAAATTAGTGTGGTTCCACAATGTCTGTTGTCACTCCATATATATACCAACAAAAAATAGACACTTAAAATTTCTTGTTCTTTCTATTTACCTGTAGAAGTTCCTAGGACATGGGTTATTCCTGTAGTTATTTGTTAGTTATGTAAATATTACTGTGAAGATTTTAAAATATATGCCATAAGATGGTATAGTTAGAGATCTCTGTCAACACACTTTTAAAAACTCTACAATAATGAAATTTAGTGCCATAAATACAGATAACAGTATGTCTGTGATATGATGTATAAAGTTTCAGTTATATCTTTAAAGGAAAGTTGTAAGGGAAATTCATTTTACCATAGTTTTTAGCTCTACTAATCAGAGACTGTCTGTCTGTAAACAATTTTTTGAAATGCTTTTCCTCCTACAGTTTTGGTCCAGTTTAATAAGACTTAGACACAGGTAGACTATACTAAAATATATAACTCTTTATATTAGTTTTTGATTTCGACAAAAGGTGTTGCAATGGTTATTATAAAAAAAGAAATTTCTTTGATTTTTTTTTTCATAATGCTACTCCTACAGTTTTGGTCCAATTTCAGTAAGACTGTGATGAATAATTCTATGTATTTTTATATTTCTAAAAATGGTGTTGCCATGGTCAGTAAATATAAAAATTTCTTTAAAATTCTTTCCAATTGCTATTACTAAAGTCCCCCCCCCCCCCCAATTTCAAGAAAAACATGGTACACAAGTAAACTGTACTAAAATACATAATTCTGTTTATCAGTTTTTGATTTTGACAAAAGGTGTTGCCATGGTTACTAAAAAAAGATTTTTTTTGAAATTCTCTCAAAATGCTACTCCTCCTACAGTTTTGGTCCAATTTCAGTAAGACTTGGTACACAAGTATATACTAATTAAGGTACATAACTCTGTTTATCAATTTTTGATTTTGACAAAAGGAGTTCCATAGTTACCAGAACTAGAAATTTCTTTGAAATTCTTTCAAAATTCTACTTCTACAGTTTGGTCTGATTAAACTTTTTCACAAGTAGACTATACAGTGTGGATTCGTTATTACGGTGACGGTTTTATAAGATAAAACGCTTATTACGTTGTAAATTCAAAGCACAAAACCATTTCTTAACAAATCTATACAAAATAGAACCGTTTATTACGATGTCCTAAAATGCCGGGACTCGGTATTACGATGTAAAAATTCTGTCCAAAATTTTTTTTTCACTCCGTGTTTATTCAGTGTTGATCGACGGTAGACACTTAAGGAGACGCTAAATAAACATTGAAACACCTGTGCTCTGACAGAGTGTTAACTTGCAGGGCCGTTAGGTGATTAGTGACGCTTGACTGCACACACCTTGACTGTTCTAGCGAGGTCAGCAGAACTGGAGACATCGTGTCAAAGCCATTGTTAAACAATTAAATTTAAACTGTTTATTTAAAAACGTAGTCTCTAGTTTATCTATGTCTGTAAAGTTTATTTTATCTTTTATACTTTGGTTAATAAATAAAATTAATTTATTAAATAAAAGGTTACATTTAATCTTGTGCCTGTATGTTAAACACGTATTGTGTAATTTCGTTTGCAATTAAATTGCGGTAATGGACAGCTTGGGTATCAAACATAATTTTGGCCAAATTTGAACTTCACTTACGTTTTAACAGCTTTGATTGTGGCTTGGACTACCTCACAGGTGTCAGCAGAAATACAAATCGATAATTGCTGAACTGCTAATTGAACTCTGTTCAGTAATTTAAAAAATTAAATTTATTTTGACATATAGCTTGTACGTTGTCAAATTCCGTCCTTAAATATGCCAGTCACACTCTTTCATCAGTTGTTCACTGCTGCTCTAAGCTCATTGAACACCCAAAAGCTCACTAAAAATTGTTGTTTTTATGTAGTAAACGACTTTAAATTGAATACGAAGACGGCTTGTTGAATTTTTTACGAACGCATTATCTACAGAGTCAGAAACGAAAGTAAAAGTAAGGAAATGGCGGTAGATAAATGAAGATCCGATAGATCGCCGAAGTTTTTATAAGAAATATACGTATTTCTTTTAAAATGAAAGAAATAGAAGAAATATCACCATGAAGATATCTATTCAAGATAAGTTGTTAATAAATCATATATGTATCAGCGTTTTGATTAGGAATTAGAACAGAAGAAGGGAACAAAAGGGCAAAAATACACCTTCCACAAAAATAACAAACTTTCAAAACGATGTTTTAATGGATTTTATTGGGAACTTTTATTACGTTGCCCTCGGTATTACGATATTTTCCCGTGACAAAATGAACATCGTAATAACGAGACCGCACTGTACTAAGATACATCTTTTTAAACTCTAATGGTCAGAGACAAGAAGAGCTAGCTTATGCGATAGTAAGGTGTCTGTCGTCTGTAAACAATTTTTCAAAATGCTACTTCTCCTACAGTTTTGCTCCGATTTCAGTATAACTTGGCACACAAGTAGACTACACTTAAATATATAATTCTATTTATCGGTTTCTGATTTTGATGAACAGTGTTGCCATGGTTACTAAAAATAGAAATTCTGTGAACTAATTTCAAAATGCTACTTTCCCTACAGTTTTTGTCTGATTTCAATGTTAATTGGAACACAAGTAGACTACACTATGATACATATTTAAAATTCTTTATATCAGTTTTTGGTTTCAAGACTAAACTAAAGATCATTATTCTAATTCATTGCTTTTGCATAGTTTCAAGTCCAAGTGCTACATTTCTCTTCCTTTGATAAATGTACGAAGCAGTAGAGCTACAGTCTCGTCAGAGACTTCTGGTTTATTATAAGTTCACACCAGTGAAGCTACAGTCTCATCAGAGACTTCTGGTTTTTATTTTTCTTTGTATGCTATCTTAATATTATTCACATTATCTTCTTGTGTGCCAGATATTTGTGAAAAAATTTACAATTTTTATAAACATACATATTGTATTAAACTTTGTCTCACTTTTCTGTTATGTGTGGGTGTGCTAAACTTGGTGCTTCTATAATACATGTATACTATTTCAAAGATTATTTTTGTTTTAAACAAAGGAAATTGTAGTAGACATAAGATATTAAACCATATAAGTGGAATTTTTAGAGAGACACAAATTTAGTGATTTGTCTTTAAATTAATCGGTATAGGATTTTAGCGAAAAGTAATTTTAGTGATTTTATAATGCCCATAAAGATTATGCTTACCTCCAATGTGGAATGAACCGTTCATAATATTCAACATCTACATGTATAAATATTCTTGTACAAAGATTGAAAGAAAATAGTTCAATAAAGATGTAATTTCACTAGTGTCAAACTGAACTCATGAAAGAATATGTATGTAGCATCAGCTTTTTATTTCATTCATTTGATCAGCTTTCATTCCAGTGGCATTAGGAATTGTTACAAGAAATCCATGAAAAATCAGAAGTGTAGTACATGCATATTTACATGTATGTGCATTTAAGCTTAACAAGAATTTACATTTTACTAACATAAATGCATGCATTTATTTACATGTTTAATTTATGTAATTTGTTATATGTCTTTAAGTTACCAGTAGTAAATCTTAATTAGTGCATTTATTTTGCAATAAAGATTTCTCAACAGTACAGCAAGACTTCTTTGTTCTCTCAGTCACAATATGTATGAATATTATTCACCACTATTTTCAGAAGTCGACCAATTGTTCATCCCAAACGTGGATTGAAATCTACAGATAATGAAACGTCCATGAACTGAGAGAAAAAAAAATGTTTGCCATACTGACCTTAAAGACACCTATGAACCTGAATATAGAATACTGGTGTTAGACCTATGATCACTGGTTTTGTATCAATGGTTACTTGACTGTGCTATACTATTAGTTACGGTGCGATACCAATGATTACTGGTTTTGTATCAATGGTTACTTGACTGTGCTATACTATTAGTTACGGTGCTATACCAATGATCACTGGTTTTGTATCAATAGTTACTGGCGCTATACCAATGATTACTGGTGCTATACCAATGGTTACTGGTGCTATACCAATGGTTACTGGTGCAATATCAATGATTACTGGTTTTGTATCAATGGTTACTGGTGCTATACCAATGGTTACTGGTGCTATTCCAATGATTTCTGGTTTTGTATCAATGGTTACTGGTGCTATACCAATGATTACTGGTTTTGTATCAATGGTTACTGGTGCCATACCAATGATTACTGGTGCTATACCAATGATACCAATGATTACTGGTGCTATACCAATGATTACTGGTGCTATACCAATGATTACTGGCTTTGTACCAATGGTTACTGGTGCTTCATGTATACCAAAGGTTATTGATGCTATATACCTGGTTATTGAGAAACAAGACTGTACTGCCAAATCTGCTCAGAATAAAATTCCTCCAAACTATTGACACAAGTCAGAAAGGGTAAACAGGTTTATTGCCAGGAGGTAAATTGAAAAGTAATTTTTTTTTAAATTTCAAGATATCTTAAAAGTTTCTTACACTCTACATTCCACTAAAGTACAGTGCATATTGCTGATTAATAACTACATTTTCAAAATTAACTCTAATAAGTTTTTTAATGTACTTGTGAAGTCGTCTAAGAAATTACTATGTTTAATCAAAAGAACACACTCATGTCAATCAGCAAACCTGTCATTTGTGGGGAAAATGGACATTAAATACACATGAAGCTGACAGTCATTCAAACACCATATTTTTATAGCAATAGTTGTTACAAATGATAAAGAACTCCTGAAGTATTGCACTACTGATAACTATTTAACACATACTTGATTTTGCTAAAAAAAAAAAAAACCACTCTCCAAGCAATGACATTATAGAACTAAACACATTACATAATATATATATATATATATATATATATATATATATATATATATATATATATATATATATATATATATATATATATATATATGTAAACAACCCAAAATTTTTTTAGCAATCATTTGTATGTGTTACAAGTAAACTCATCTTGCACTATACTATATATACATGTACATGTATTAATCAAAGTTAACAAAGATCACATATTTATTTTTTCCCATTAGAAATGATTTGAGTAAATGTATGCATGGAGAAATTAAACAAATTCATTGCTTAGGTAATCCTGAATAAATGTCATGTCTGCCTCTTTTTGGATTCTTGATCTTCAATCATCCTTAAAGGGTCGATCACTACACCAAATTCTATGTGATCTATTTTCATATTACCGGGATTTTGTCAATATAAATGTCTTTTACATCTAGCCGCGGAAGTTGTTCTTTTCATCTCGCAAAAATCCCATGGTGGAAACAGGGTCACTCTTCCCACAATGCTTTTGCACATGAGAATCTCTAAAAATTGAAAATTCAATTACCAGGTACATTTGCATGAATTAAGAGTATCAATTATATTTTTTGTGCATTAACATGATCCCCCCCCCCAAATATCTTGATTATAACTGAAATGGAAACAATTTCAGAATACCTTGCAGTGCAAAAATTCACAAAAATGGCCTTTTAGTGAGAGTTATCTCTCTTATCGGAAGGTCGTTGAACCTTAAGCTTCAAATTATCTTATCTTTACAAGTTAATTCTGTACTTAGATGTATAATAAGTTTCCTACGTACTCAACTCTCATGAATGGGTTGAATTTTAGTTCTTCGTCAATTGTGGAGGGAATTGTTGGACAATTCTTGGCTCTCTGGTCCTGAGAGACAGAATTTTCAAAATTAAGTCATGAGACAGAGACAAACTCTGAAATAATTGTATGTACAATAGGGACCCCCATATTGATGTGAGGGTGGGACCCTGATAAAAAAGTCAAACATATGCATAATTTCACAAGTGATGGAACATTAGCATTAGTTGGAGTTATTTTGATTTCATAGGTTTGATTATGAAAGTGATGTATATACATATAGTGATTTTGTATCAAAATATGAGGTACATTGGTTCAATAATTAATTATTCAATAGCACAATCTTGAAAAAATAAAGAAACACACATGAGGAATAAATATGTGTTTTGCAGTTACGTTTACCTTGGCCCATGCAAATTTTTCCTTTATAGTTTGATTCTCTGGTTCCACATGGAGGGCAAATTTTAGATTATTCACAGTGTACTCATGTCCACAAAACACGCGCTATGGTGAATGCAAAAAAAAAAAAAAAAAAAAAAAAAAAAATCAATACTGAAATTTAATTATGCCTAGATGTAAGACTATCTGAAGAAATGAGTGCTTTTAACAAGATTATCAAAATCAAAAATACATTTCAATCACTTAAATATTTAAAATTAAGTGTTCTTAATTGATTTAAAGAAAAAGTTAGGTTTTCTTAAAAATGATTAAATGCCATTATGAACTGAGAGTTACTCCCAATTAATATGCATTAAATTTCAATGCACTTTGGTTAGGATTCTGACATTGACATTAATTTTTAAAAATTTACAATAAAATTTTTGATGATCTTTACAGAATGCTGAACTTCATTTTCAATCTAATATGAGCAATATTTTATACAGCTTAATTAAATAACATTCTGATAACTACATACATGTACATGCATATTCAGGCCTCTAAGTGGCCTCTAAAATTTAGGTGCCAGCTGGCACCTTATCAGATAAAATTTAGTCGCCATTGCAAATTTTTCAGTCGCCAGGCAATTTTTCTAAGGCACCAACTTTCAAAATTAATAGAATATATAGGGTCCCTATAAGTCCCTCTAGAATATAGGGAGCCATGACGTGCCTAAGAAAACACGGCATGTCCATTGCTAAAAAATAATTTCCTTTTCTTTTAAATTTCTTTTCACTTTTTCAGAAAAATTGTTAAAAATGTGAAAATTTCCGGAATTCCACGATCACCAAGTCAATTTTAAATGGTCGTCAGTTTGGCGACTTATGAAAAAATTTTAGGCGCCAATCAAAAATTTTAGGCACCATGGTGACTAAATTAGTCGCCAATTAGAGCCCTGATATTAAAATTGATATTAATGGTTACCGTATTTCCGGGCAGCTTTGATAAAATTGTGACGAGTGCTGAATACATCATGTCTGCTGTTCCTTCAAAAAACTTACCACACCCTCCAACAAACAAGGTGTCCCCTAAAACATAAAAAATATTTACTAAAACTGGTGTTCGAGGGAGACATTTCATATTCTAGAATAAAAGATTTCAAAAAAGAATGAAATTTCAATACACATTTTTCAAAAAAAAAAAAATCCTGTATCTCTGAGAATCATACCTTGGTACATAAACATAGACATAAACATGTGTACCTTACCTGTAAACATTGATGTCTCTGTGTACCTTACCTGTAAACATTGCTGTCTCTGTGTACTTAACCTGTAAACTTTGATGTCACTCTACCTTACCTGTAAACATTGATGTCTCTGTAAACATTGATGTTTCTGTGTACCTTACCTGTAAACATTGATGTCTCTGTGTACCTTACCTGTAAACATTGATATCTCTGTGTACCTTACCTGTAAACATTGATATCTCTGTGTACCTTACCTGTAAACATTGATTTCTAGGTATATATCTTACCTGTAAACACTGCTGGCTGTTCTCCTTTGGGGCTTGTAACAAAGTAGCAGATGTGGCCTGTTGTGTGACATGGAGTAAACAAACACTTCACATCTAAATTTCCAACCTTAAGAAATAAAAATGTCTGACAATTACTCTCCTGGGCCTTATATAAACATCATTTAAAATGAGGAACTCAGTGGTCTCTAATACATTTCAGATTGTTACATGCACCTTCAAATGCCATTCTCCAGAAAAAAATAAGGGATGTTTACTTTATTTGATGGCATTATTTAATGAGATCTACACCTACAAGTATCTTTTCACAAAGGATGACTGCACTTAAGGACATGCGAAATTTGCGACAAAATAAACTTTCAAAACAAGCATTTTCCTTTTCATTGCAAGAATGGTCAACATCCAATCTACAACATTATGTAATTACGTTTAATAAAAGTGTGTATTTACGAAGTTTGAATCTGTTTTCAAAGGCAGGGGTCATCACAATTTCTTGAATCTCCGTACGATAATGAGGACGCCCACTTTTTTACTGACTTTATACATAGTCAGCGCATGTTTGTCTATTGTTCTCCGTTTCACAGTAGTTGTATATTTGCATAAATAATAATGTGTCAAAAGGAGATTAATAGACAAACATGCGCTCATGGTTAAAAAGAGAAAAAACTGCCTCTTCTTACACTCGCTCTCCGTGTTGTAACCAAGGATTGTGACATGTTGAATATTATAATTCACCACATGATGTCCTACCTCGGGTAACTTTGTGAATACAAATTCCGTCACGTGACTTGTAAGGTAGCATGTTTTGTGCTAACTAGGACATTGTGTTCGAACACGTTAAGTCATCTGGCATTGATATACAATCTGCTTAAATTACATTGACGTGATCATATTGTTAGTTTCGTTTTGAAACCTTTGTCAGAAGTGTATTTGTGCCATTCAGAATGGAGAGGGAGATTGGAAAGAGTGATCATGTTCTTTTTTTCAAACATGTCATTGTTATTTATCAAGTCTAATTTAAGACCCATATTTACAATGTTAGCTCCACCTCTCATGCATATCTAATGTTCAGTCAAGGGCAGTTAACTGTAAATTCACTATATTTGGAAAGCACTAAGGACAAAAAACATTGAATCATTTTATTGTATCACAGTCTAAAATCATTTTAAGATTTAAATTTGGTTTCAAATTGACAGGATTCTTTCATAAACATACAAAAGTGAAATAAAGTTTAGATATAAAGGCAACAGAAGCAACCGAAAAAGACCCCAAAACAGGCGTTAAGTGCAGTCATCCTTTTTACAAATGGAAGCCAATTTCTTTCATGAGCATTGAACAAGAATGTACCTTGAACTGGTCTCCGTGACCCACTTTTTTATTCAGAGCTGGTACTCTCTCATCACCTCCACAGACAACGATCTTTTGCCTGGGAACTAATTTCACTAATTTATCATTTCCATTGGCATGATCCCTGAAAATTTCACATTTTTCCCTTTTCAAATGTTGCAATGCTACATATGACCTGAAATATTTTCAATATAATGTATATCTCTTTTAAAATGATCAATGTTTTGATTTTAAACATGATTGCAATTTTATTTTTTGATTTCCCTTTATCAGTATACTGTATCACTGTAAATAACTTTCAAGAACTTAATGTCATAAGAAACGTATTATCTGAATTTTACTTGCATTGAAGCTATAATTTTAGAGCATCCTTTGTTTTAAAATGAAAATATTTTTCCACAGAAAAAAATTAATGTGATTCACACATGAGGATTGAGGGGAGGGGGTGGGAGGGGATTGGAACCTCCCCCCTCCCCTGGGAATTTTAAGAGTTATAAATTAAAGTAGCTAAAAATGCCCCCCTCCCCCTGGAATTTTCAGAGTAAATATTAAATTTACATAGTAAAGTAGCTGTAAAATGACGTTGGAAACCCCCCCCCCCCCCCCCCCCCCAAGGATAAGAAGTGAAAAAGTGGAAAGTGCCCCCCCCCCCCATTTCTGGGTCTGATTTTTTTAGAGTAGGATGGACCATCCTGGAAAAAAAAATTCTGCATCAGCACATGTTACAAGACTTAGGGAGTTTATACAATTAGAATATGAAGATGATTTATCATTCTGTTACCAGTGATGATGTGTTGTGAGAATTGTTGTTAGGGTACAGTTTTCTTCCTTAACAGCTTCTATTATCTGCAAAAGTAATTGATTAATAAATATCAATATCTAAAAGTAAAAACATGTACTCCATAATTCATATATATATATATATATATATATATATATATATATATATATATATATATATATATATATATATATATATATATATATAGCAGATAAAGGATGGACAGACAAGTAAACAGCATGCACAAACCTTCTCTGGTTCCACTGGGTCTACTGCTGCACACTGTTTTGTCTCCTCATCTACCAGAAGGTACATATAATTATCCTCCAATGCTGGGACTAACCGAATCTTCATGTCTGGTTGGGATACAGTGATTGGTTTTGAATGAAACAGCTTCGATGTTCCTGTGAACAGTGCTACCGAACTGGCTGTTAAAGTATAATTATTGTGTTTAAAATTTATTTCTACTTTTAAGTTCTCTTATTTTACTGTATTTACTTTTGTATTCTTCCCCTTAAAAGGAAAGTTCAGAATTCAGAACTTTGAAATGGAAACAAAGTCACTTGACTGTATAAGCCATTGCAAAAATATTTACACAAGCAGCTATTTCAAAATATCTATATCACCTAGCTAATATTTTATTTTTATTTCAGTAATTTGTAATAACTAAAGGAGAAAAGTACTCCTCTCTGGTATATAAAGATGGGACATATGCTTCTCTTTGCGTACTGATAAAAATTCTGAGAACAGTGATTCATGGATTGACCACAGGAGTCGGCAGTTTTATCCATAAAACAACGTAAACAACAATCAGTGAGCTTCGCGAGCGTAGCGAGCGAACGCTTGCTACGCTCGCGAAGCTCACTGGTTGTTGTTTACGTTGTTTTATGGATAGAACGCTCGCTACGCTCGCGAAGCTCACTAGTTGTTGTTTACGTTGTTTTATGGATAAAACTGCCGACTCCTGTGGATTGACAGATTTAGCTATACAATAGCATAAGCAGATAAAAGCAGTCTGCCCCTTATAAATCTCGGCTGAGTTTCGGCTTGGCCGGACTGACCTCTTCACCAGTGAAAGTGTCAGTCCAAATATCCAGCTAAGGAGAATCTCCGCGTGAACGCATCAGTCTAAATATCTAGCCGAGGCGAATCTCAGGCGAGATTAATTATCTTTCCCTTAACTCTAAAATACACCTAATTAACTTTTGAATCATAAATTTAACTAAGAAAAACAAATTTTAGAAGCTAAATTTTACAAAGTTACATAGATTTAAATGCATGACAACAAATTACCTCGAGAAAATGTAGCTTTCGCAATATATGCGAAGTTAGAGGAAATTCGCGCAAACATTTATGATAGTTAAGTCAAACGTAGTTTATTCGTTAGGAACTTGTCATACAAAAATCGAAGTAATGGAATACTATTTAGTTTTCAAATTCGGAATCGTTGAAGACTAAAATACAATTTCCAATAAGCATATGATATAATTCTTCACTCCATGCACTTTTTGAAATTATTTCTGCATGTGCCTAAAAGCAGGGACCTATATACTAGTATATAGGTCTGTTACAACGCGAAATGTTTATTTTGATCATGTTAATGATTATTACATTTTGCGTTGTTACATTTTGCGTCGAGGTTAAGCAAAATGCAACAAAGCAAAATGTAATAACACATTTTAAATAATTAAAAAGTCAGGTTGAGAATAATTTTCAATTGAGTAGTGGATGAAGAAAATAGATGAAAAAGAATTAACAAAAGGAAAAATAATCATATGCTAATTCTTTCATTAGATCTGATTTCATCGTATTTCGATTTCATAAGCCATTTAAAATCAGTTGATATCCAAATCATAGGTATTGCGTATTAGAAACGCGCGTGCTCACGTATGTGTGTGTGGGGGGAGGGGGGGGGGTATTTCGTTGATCAGTGTATCAGTTTGCTTTTACTGTTTGATAGGCACATGCCTGAAATTTAGACAAGAAATCTATTTATTTTTACTGGCAGGTGTAAATATAGCGGGAAGGGGGTTTCTTGACAATTAAGATTTCATACTGTTTTACAAATCATGTGCATTGCAGACCAGCAAAAATAAAATTCTCTCTCTCTCACTCTCTCTTCAACAATAAAACGGATAGTTTTTGCATGTGCATAAAAATACAAGGATCAACGTACGAGTAACCCCTACCCACCACTTCACCTCACCAGACACAAACACATGCACTTCTAATTTTCTAATCAATGTACACATGCACGTCGTACATGCATATCAAGATTTTAATGGACCCATGGTCAATCTTTGGTAATTAAGAATGTCAGTGATAGATATATAATACAGACTGATTTATAAATAGACATGCCAATCAAAGTTTAAGTATTCAATAAAAGTGTTAGAAACAGCGTTAAAATATAAACAATAAGATTTAGTAATGTCCTTAAAAGCTCTAACATTAAACTTTGTCTCATGGTCATAGATATGTCTGTCTATTTAGTGAAGCGAGTTTCCCCATTGTTATATGTTTCAATCAATGTGATGTTTCGCGTTGAACACAATGCCCCCCCCCCCCCCAAAAAAAAATGTTTTATTACTTTTGTTTTATTACATTTTGCGTTGTCCTCAACGCAAAAATTAAGTAACGCAAAATGTAACAACCAAAAAGTGCATTATAACATTTCGCGTTAATTCCAACGCAAAATGTAATAACGCATAATGTAACAATCCAAAAATCGTGCTATTACATTTTGCGTTATTACATTCTGCGTTGATCTCGACGCAAAATGTTATAACGCAAAATGTAATAAATCCAGTTGATTACATTTTGCATTGTTATTATATTTCGTGTTGTAACATAGGTCCCTGCTAAAAGTTAATTTTATAAAAATATCAGGAAATGCATTGTCGCTAATCACAGCCATTTAAAGTATTAGGCGCTTGTTTCAGGGTGGTGTATTTTGTGTATTGTGTCTTTTGTCTATGTCTGTCTAAATACACTCATGAAAATAATAATTAAAAAAAACTCGCTGAAATGAAATTTCTTTAAAGATATATTTCTGTATATAGAAATATGATATCTTCAAAAAATGCCAATTTCAGCGATTTTTGATTTTTTTCGTAATGCATGTATAATTAGACACTCAGTACACAAAATACACCATCCTCAAACCAAGCGCCTGTGTCAAAATGTACGTGATCCTTTCTGAAGAGAATTAAGATATGTTCCTACTTAAATGGCTTTTCATGCTTGAAAGGCATAGTTTCCACCCTCACAATTTGAGGGTTCAAATTAGGAAAAGTCCTGTTATTTTCAATTAATAGAGCTGAAATTAATTAATAATCACAAAAAATGTATAGGTTGCCATTTTTTTTTGGATGACAGAAAATATATAATAGTATACAAGTAATAGTTATTGTATATTTATTATGGTGTATCCTGATTTATTTGGACGAAGGGCGGTGACGAGTGCGAAGCACGAGTCTCCGCCCCTTCGTCCAAATAAATCAGGATACACCATAATAAATATTCAATAATTTTCTTGTATCATGGCCAATCAAAACGTCAATAATTGTTACGTCCCAAATTTTCAAGCATGATTTTCAATTACACCAATAAAAAATATAGTTTTTGTCAGGTGACCGCATGGATATTCTCTCCTTCCCGCCAGTATTTTTTGATTCGCACAATTTATGTGTGTGTTCATGAGAAAAGACGTCGGATTGCAGCTCTCCAACTTAATATAAAAACGGATTGTTAATGAAATTCATAAGAAAACCTTTGGATATCATGGATGAAAAATTCGAAGTTGAAGAAGGGAAATTCAGGTGTTAATTGAAAATCAAGAAAAAAAAATACCCGTTGATCATTTGACATATTCGAGAGCTGTGGCATGAACAAAAACGCTGTGTTAATAACTCTTCATCTATGGATGCAGTACAGCTGAACTTTATTCTACAAAGATGGTATATCCTGCTAAAAATTCCTATTACAATAGATGTGACATTTTAAGATATTTATTTGTGGAATTCATGTCAAGAACTTGATTTCTCGATGCGGTGGATCGAATATTTGCAGAGTTCCGTAAGACATTTCGAAATTTTGTCTCTGTATATAACAAAGCCCATTCTGTAATTCATATTCAATATACAATGTAATTTAAAATGTTGAAATCGCCTTGGTGTTCAATAATTTAATTACACGGCACAGTTTTGCAGGCTCCGCCCATCGGTGTATCTCCAGTTATTGTACACTTGACTTCAAAGGAAAAACACCACAGCCATGATTCAAAAATATATGTCAGCATAAAAGAACGTACATTTTTAGTCAACAGTATTCATAAAATTATGTAAAAACTGGTTCAAATACATAATTCTGCTACTGAAAGTTCCAAAATATTTTGGGTTTTTTTTTATGAATATGTTTGAATCGTGAATATCAGAGAACACATTTTAAATTAGAAGTACAACAATTAAGAAAATGCCTGTATGAAGATATATGAGAAGGAGTTATTGCCTTTTAAGCACCACTTTTTAAAAGATTAAATAATTGATTAAATGAAGAAAATATTCAATTTTTGAATTCCTTTACTTAACAATATTTTTCATTACACCCACTGAAAAGCATTTTTCCGAAAGATATATTTCTATTGGACGTGAATTTAAATTAATACATATTTGGCAAAAACCTATACATCACAGGAGGGTGGAAATACCTTTATAAGTTGCGTTTTCTTCCTTGAATCAATGATTACTTTTCATTAAATTTCAACCAAAAATTCTCATTTAAATGCAGTATTAATGAACAATAACTTTCAAAACTATCTATTTACAGTGGCGGATCCAGGAATCTTGAAAGGGGGGGGGGCAGTTTGAGGTCGGGGTAGGGCCCACGGCCACGCCCCAAAAAATTGATTTATTAAATCTTATGTATATTTTGGAGACGGGGGGGGGGTAGGGCGGGCCCCCCTGAGTCCCCCTCTAAATCCGCCAGTGATTTATCAGAATTGCATGTGTAAGGAATTCATGATTACATCCTCACAATGTCCAGGTTTTGTGATTTCGGAACTCCACACAAACCTTGACATTGTGAAGATGTCATGATTAGTGTCACCTACATTTATTAACTGATAAACAAGATGTGTTTGTAACACACTGATGCCCCCGTATGGCAACTTATAGCAAAGGTTATACTTTCTAAAATGCAAGTCAAATATATTGGTACCCATTAAGTAAAGTCTTGTCTCGAAGAGTATACCTGTGAAATATGAAAGCACCTGCAGCAACCATTGAAAAGATATGGAAAAGGTTAAAGTTTCTCAAAAGTAAGTCAAACATCAATGGTCAAAATTAGTTGTACCCAAGGAAAGGCCTTTTCACAAGAAATACACAGGTGAAATATGAATTTAAAGCCGAAGTACCAATCGTTCCAGTCCAGAAGTTATGACCAAGGTTAATATTTTTCAAAAGTAGGTCAAACTCCAAGGTCAAGGTCAATGGATTACAATTGTTGGTATCCTAAGAAAGGTCTTGTCACAAGGATTACACATGTGAAGTATGAAATCCCTAGCTCCAACCGTTCAAATGTTATGGCCAAGGTTCAAGTTTTTCAAAAGTAGGTCAAACTCCAAGGTCAAAGTTGTTGGTATTCAAATGGAGGTCTTGTCACAAGGATTACACATGTGAAGTATGAAAGTCCTTACACCAATTGTTCAAAAGTTATGGCCAATGTTAAAGTTGGGTAAATTTTTGCAAAACTGGGTCAAACTCCAAGGTCAAGGTCAAAAGGTCAAATATGATGGTCTTGTCACAAGGAATACACATGTGAAATATGAAAGCATTGCTCCAACCAATCAAAATTTATGGGCAATGTTAAAGTTTTTCGGACAAATAGACAGACAGACAGCTAGACGTACAAGGCAAAAACTATATAGCCCCGAATCTTCGATACGGGGGCATAAAAAGAATAAGGTATGATATATCCCCTTTCGGTATAATTATAGGGCATCTGCGTTTTGATTAAAAACAAAACCATTATCTACAGAAACGTGTAAGAATAACTCGATATAGTCACTTCTGAAAACTACAGGTATCATTAGTCAATGAACACCCTTGTTTGACAAACTCCAGTCCCCCAAAATACTACTTATATTAAGAATCACACACATTGTCAAGCTTTACGGTGTAAGGAACACAAACTGGTACATGTATCAACCTATGAAACAGACGGAAAAGCAAATTTTCATGCGTCACAGATTCCATTTGTTTCACTAAATTCTTCATCGTGTACACGTCTTTAGAATTATACACTATGGGCCAGTTTCTGCATGAATATCAGCGTTGACAAGGCTTCAGTCAGAGATAACGAATTATTATTTCATTTCTTCTCTTCATGGTTTGGGCTGAAAATACCACAGGTGTTATATTTATATATGATACATACAGCAATACACGATATACACAACTGAACTTCGGTATCTCGAACACGTATATCTCGAAGTCCCATGAACGTTTTTCTTCCGGTATTTTGCCCTCAACATCTCGAACCCTCGGATATCTCGAAGCTTTTTCTGGGTCCCATCGAGTTCGAGATAACGACTTTTGACTGATATGATAGTATATGATGTATACTATTGATAACGTTAAGTATATATGTACCTTGCAATTGCTTGTATATCGAATGAAAATATTACAATGTAAATATAATCTATATCATCATTTTTAAAGCTTTTATGCATAAATATATAATTTTTTTGGTAATACAGCAACTAAAGAGACCGTTTCATTGGCATGGTTTCAACATACTGACATGCTGAATAGACTACTACGGGTACTATTGCGTTTATCGGTATATAAATTTGATTTTACATGTACCTATTTTGAAGTTTTAATGGATTTCATTTTAATCTTTTTTCCTCGACAACATTGAATATTTGTTAGAATAAAATGCAAAAATACCTTTTATAAATCAAAATTAGAGATTAAAAAAACGGTATCAACAGAGCGACATTTAACTCCGGGCACGACATTGTCCAGTATTTTTACTACCATTTCTATATATCCCATAGATTATGATAATGATATCTGACTCATCATAATCTATGGGATATACCCCATGTTTAACAATGTATGGAAGAAAAGGACTCATTGTCATTATCCGCGGGATTTATCCCATCTGAGCAAATTTGTGGGAGAAAAAATCCAAAGGGGAGAAAATATCCCATCTGTCACTTTTTCTCCCATGGGAGAAAGGTGGGATAGTTGTTAGGACTAAAAATCCCACCATTCTCACATGGGATTCTGACTTTTAAGGACTTAATATCTTTAAAAAAAGAGATGTTTGAGAGTTCAACATGAGACCCTGTGATACTGCTAAGAAATCCCACCAAGTGCTATAATTTATTTTTGGACATCACAATTAGAAATGCTAGTAAAAGGTCTGGACAATGTCGTGTTCGAAGTTAAATGTCGCACTGTTTATCGGAGATACTGGATCATGCATATGCATTTTATTGATAAACAGGTAATTTTAATATTGTATATAACCAGATGCAGTTGCGTTAGGTTAAGCAATAGACTCTACCGTTGCGTTATGGATCACATTCTTAATGCAACCAATGTGGAAATAAAATACGTTTTATAAAGAATTAAATATGGTATTCGGTATTTCTATACATGCAGTTGTAGTTGAAATCCTCGTTGTGATGACTATTGGTATTTGCAATCAGCAACTTCTTTTTGTGAGAATCAACAATCTTTCGAATTTTCAATTTGATAATCACCTAACTCTCGAATCTTCAGCCAGCGATTTAGAAATCTGTGCCATGCAATGTGAAATTGAAAGCACATGTCTCTCTGTTCAGTATAATTCCAGCACAAACGAATGCGTTCTATTGAGAACTGTACACTACAGTAGCTTAAAAGCTGTACAAGTTGATGGTTGGAATTACTTTGTTAGAACTGGAGGTAAGAGATCTATAAAAATCAAAATCATCTATATTAGTCCATGTTTATGTGGCTCTTTTTGCTATCAAAATACATGTAAGTGTGTATTTATCGATTCGATATTTTAAAAAAAAAATGGAATCCTGTAATTTTAAAATTATCTCAGATATTGTCAGCAGCTAACATTCGCAATTCTTGACATTGCCAGACGTCAATATGCTCTCAGTTTCTGAAGTGATTTCATTTCAACCTTTATTAATTGAATACTGTATGCAGGGAAAATTTCGCTCCCTTTTTATTTTTGCCCCTTCTGCCCATTGTCCATTGGCAAATTTAAAACGGGACGAACTCAAGAGAGACAAACCTATCTCTGTAAATACAGCTTTGAGCGAATTTAAAATGGAGAGAAATCGTTTGTAAGTGAGATATAGGGCGAAAATAACACGGGGCAAAAATAACCCTGTATACAGTAATATTTACATCTGCAAATGTTTTCTTTTATATAACACTACTAAAAGCAATGCGTATCTATATCCGTATAAACACGGGTTCCTCGCGTCATAAACGTTCGACGTAATTTCTCAGTGACGTCACAAAGGGTCGACGCGCAATCAGAGGATCAAACACGTGCCGTTGGGTTTGAAAAATAAAACGTTTCACGCGTTAAAGATTATAATCAGGCAAATATAAAATATGAATAAGTCACAAATGTAAATATAGGTAATAAGGTATCATTTTAAAACATCTATCGGGCTATAAATACGGGTTGGTACGAGATCAAATTTACCATAAAGCCCTTCGGGCTTTGTGGAATTTGATCTCGTGACCAACCCGTATTTATATCCCGATAGATGTTTAAAAGCGAGACCTTATTTCTTAAATAATTAATAACATTCACATGTCGACATCAAATTAATATCAAAATGACGTAAAACAACAATAATTAATTAAAGCTCTTAAAATAGTAAAAACTTAGATGAGTAAATTATATGTTTTGTTGACGTAAACCATACTTCAGGCGACGGAATGCATATGAAACGAGAAATAATACCCAAAGTGTGCCAAAAAAAAGTGTCGTTGTAAATGAAAGGGTTTCACAGTTTGGTAAACCTGTAACCCTCTGGTTATATATATATATATATATATATATATATATATATATATATATATATATATATATATATATATATATATATATATATATATATATATATATATATATATATATATATATTTGTCCGAATTTTCTTTCCCAGAGAGGCACAGTTGTGATGCTATGCGAATTTGTGAAAACAGCAAAATAAAAGTTTCTTTCTTTTTTAGGGAGATGTCAAGAAGGATTCAGTGATGCCAGAACATTAAACATTTGTTTTACCTTTGTTGGTAAACATAAGGTTTCTGAAGGCCGTAAAGAGTGCTCCATTAGAAATTCCAGTATCATAGCTCTCAGGTCAAATGAAGAAGAGGACCTTCTGGAGAGATTAATGTGTAAAGCCGAATTCATAATATTTTTTATAAACTTCATTCCTGAAGCTTCTTAGATAGGCTTGATTTGAATTATATGGGAAATTAAACTTTAATGTAAAACCTATAGAGAAAGAAAAATATCAAATTGTTAATAGTAATTTTCTATCATTGACATCATTCTAATATACATGTTGAAGTTTCAGTAACAATACTAATGTAATTGTAGAGATCACAATTGGTTTAAGTTTACAAAAAGAGAAGAATTAGATATATAAATAAAAGAAAAAAGAATGAATGTTATGATTTTTGCAAAAGATATTTATATTCTCTAATGCCTCTTTAGACTTTTATCACATATGTTGAAGATGTACACCATAGCTAGTGCCTTGTTTTTTTTTCTCGAAAAAGTCTTTTAAATACTTTTACCTTAATTTTTATCTAGGTGGTGAAAATATCCATAAATATGACCCATAGTTTCATGTACACACCTCCCTATTTGTAGATTGCGAAGAAAACTCATACAATGAATAATTTTATTAATCACTTGAAAAAGACCCACCATGTTTGGCTTTGCAGGTTAAGTACAAAAAGAAAGGGTTTTTCCGAAGTTAAGCAAATTATATTTGAGTATATTCTTCAATAGTATGTGTTTTATTGTTGTAAGGCAAGATGACTACATGTATTTCAACCAAAATCTTTCCGCAAGAAATTTTTTTCATGATCATCATTATAATAATCGTGATAACAATTACTTGTGCAACTTATGAATATTACAAATACATTTTTAATTTTTTTTTTTAGTTTCTTTGTTCGACAACAGTTCGAAGTCATTTGCAAACAAACCATACATCCAAGGTCGATGGAATGGATCACACTGGGTACTAGATGACGGTAAACCTATAGAATACAATATAGAGTGGACACCGAGAACAGATCTCAGTGAAGCTAATTATAATGACAACCTTAGATATTTTCCAGGACGTAATAAGATTGGATTCTGCAATGGTAACTTGATAAGACCAATATTTTGCACGTATGACATAATATGAAATTATTGTTCAAGTTTTGATTTTTTTTTATCGTACCCTATAACATATTATTTATCGTTTTGATAGCGATTTTAATACAATGCATTTCAAAATATCTCCTTTAAATTAAGGAATTTACAATTTTAAAGATTAAGGATAAATAATCGATAATTATATTATATAGAAGTTTGTATCATGCATGCATCTGTTTTTGAAATATCCGTGGGCTAGTCGAAAATTATGCATAAATGCTTAAATAAATGCTTAAAATATTTTATGAAGTGGATTTTCAGTAGTTTTCCGGTATTTAAATTACTTAGATAAAACAACTATTCTTTTCTTTTTGTACATTAAAGAATCCCTCCTACCAAAAAATCAAACATACTTCATTTACATTACACATAACTAGATTGAATTGATCCAGATAAATTGATTGATAAATGAAATATGGAGACAACAACAGTCATCAAAAGTTCATTAAAACAATACAAACTGGGGACAGAACCAACAAAAACTTCTAAAAACATCAGAGTTGGGATCAGGTGCTATTGAGGAGTAAGCATCTCCTGTCGACGGGTCACACCCGCCGTGTGCTCCTTGTCATGATAGGGAAAATGGAAAAAAAATCAGTAGACAATTCAGTGTGTAAATAATGGCGTAACAATTACATGAAGTATTAAAAATAAGTCAGCATTCGACTTAATGATAGACTGTATTTGGTGACAAGGCCATTGTATCGACCATAGAACTCGCGAAATGACTTTAAAAGAGACTGTTGATATTCTTATTTAATCAACTTGTTTGTCAATAGTTTGCCTCGTTTTAGAAATTGTTCTTATATGGAGTATGCTCTTGCGTATCGAATCAAATGGAAGACATAAACTCCATATGCAGGTGATAAAGGTATATTGCTACATAAGTAAGGGAAGTTGAAGATAGAGAAGTTTATGTCTGATTTAATTTAGATTAATACATCTCGCCATGCTACCAAAATATTTTTTAAGTTGCATAGAAATTAATGGAGAACAATTAAATGATGTAAAACAGTGTATTTGATAATATGATTTTCGAAAAAGAGTCATATTTACTTGTGTGACATTTTTTTTCTTTTCTCGGTTCAGTAACTTATGACCAAAGGAAATAAAGTTTACATAAATTTTTACTATTTCATTTTTGTACTTAATTACTTATATGTACTAATATTATGAATAACTAAAATTGTTCTGTTGCATTTGGAAGTAATTGGAAGCTGTGTTTAACAAGATGATATTAAACAATATAATTTATTTACAATTATTATTAATTAGATATTTACTCTTGAATTAAAATATTTCTAACTCTTTCTTCTTATAGATCCATTCCGAAACCTATTTATTTATGCCAGATCACATTTAGAAAAAAATCAAAACAGATTGGGGGGGGGGGGGGGCTTCCTTTACTGTGAAATCACTAATTTTCGTAGGGGGTTAATTTTTGTTGTTATCAAGGTATGGAGAGACCCGCGAATTTATTACCACCACGAAATGTAAAATTTCATATGCATTACTACTAAAAATTCTCCAACCACGAAATCAAATCCCCACAAACCAATAGTTTTTTCCCCCAAACCTTGAAAATTTGACCCAACGAAAATATGTGATTTTACCGTATTCTGAATGCCTTTAAGCCATCACATTAAAAAAAAAACAATGCAATTTACAGACCACTCTTGACTGGCCATTTTACTCAACATGCATGTTTTAATTGTGATAAAAACACTACTCACGAGGTTTGTTCAACAGGACAAGCGATGCCGAGCACTCAAAAACATTTCTATTTGAGGATAAGAAATTCTGGTAAGTTCTCTTGCAAGCACTTGAGCTGTTGAACACGCTCTTGGTTTGATGGTGACTTCTTTTATGACATCATTATGTACTATGACAACTTACAGATTACTTTTTAACTTATATTACTCTTTACCTGTGTGAAAATGGAAGAAAATAATATAAAGACAATGCTTTCATAACTTGAATATGGACCCATAATTCTCCGTAAGAGATACATGTGTGTATTTTTTTTTACCTGATCTAGAGCAAACTACCCCTAGAATTTTTACGTATGATTATCTTGGAAATAGAGAAAATGATATGATGGGCCCCATAAAAATCGAAAGCAAGGGTTTCTTTTTCTAAATGTACAATCCTCTTTCTTCCCTAGTTTATAGAACACGTACGTGTTTAAAGTTTCAAACAATTTTAAACATAGGTTCTACAATTATGACGCAGACAAAATTTTACCGCAAAAAAAAAAAAAAAAAAAAAAAAAAAAAAAACCAGTGTCATTTAGGAGAAGAAATTTGCTAAAAGTGTATACATCAGAGTTTTTAGACTTATAAAAACTGTAATTCTGCTATAAAAATAGAATTCCTACGTTAAATATCATATTTCTGTAAGAACACTCAATAACAAGAGCTTGAGCTTTCTCTTGAAACAAAGTGATCCGGAAATTGAAAATATGGAATTACACTGTACATTTTATCACCCATAAAAAAAAATCAGCACTTGTAAACATAAAAAAACAGATATTAAGAAATCCTTTCAGAATAAGAGTACTTAAAAGGTTTTTTAGCTTTTAGGTGACTGTTTGTTCTGCTTTTAAAACGCCTCGTCAACTGCAAGTTCATAATTCATATTTCACCAACGTTCATTGTTGACGGTTTCATACAAGTAAGTGTAGATTAATGTAAATATACCAGACCATCCTATACAATAAATTTTAAAGAATTGTCTGATGAGGGTACTGTTTAAGGAATGGAGATTAATCGAAAACACAGTGAAATATGAACATATAAAAACCTGAATAGGTTTGATTTCGATTGTAAAGCCCCCTCCCCATTCACTCTCTCTCTCTCTCTCTCTCTCTCTGTGTATGTGTGTGTTCCGTCTTAAGTTGTGTTTCATTTCAAAGTATTTAAGGTTATTTTAGATTGCAAAGTGAATGCACTTTATTTTCATTGATATATAATATTGATATTTAATACAAATATAGATAATATATGCAGTCACTGTTAATGAATATTTCATTTAAGATTTTCTACTTCGAAAATTCCATATATAATGTTTTCCGAAAAGGGTATTTTGTACATGTTCATTTCTTTTCTTAGACGAAATAAGAATCATATGGGAGCGCCGAATGTGTTAAAAATATTTTACAAATTAATAAAAAAATGTTTAGTTTATGAGAGGTTTTTCACTATTCGTACGAAGTATTCAACATTATTAAAATATATGAAAAGGACTTACTGAGAAACCAACTTATTTTTGTGTTTTCACAAGTGCTTTTTTGTGGGGATTTGATTTTGTGGTTGAAGAAGAATAATGATACTGTAGTGTAAAATTTTAACATATCATGGAGAATATGAATTCGTCTCTTTATACCGCGAAAGCAACGAAGATTAAACCCAAACGAAAACTAAAGGAACTGTGAACAATGAGCTTACAATATGATACCCCCCCCCCCCCCGCCTCCAATGTGATTATAATGGCAAAGTCCATGCTTTGCTATGGGAGATCCGAAATAATTAAGTGTAAGATCAAAAGTAATATAGGAGTTGCACCATGGTACTATGTAATATAGATTCTGTGAGAGTATCATTAAATTTTATTCAGCGGTAAAGGACGAGTTGCAGTTAAGAGATGGGTACCCCTCGATATTATATAAAGAATGGCAGTGTCTATGTTTTGCTACTTGAAACCCGAAATAAGTGTCCGATCGAAAAGTAAAATAGGAGGTTCACAATGACACTACGTGACAAAGATTCTGTGAAAGTTCCTTTAAATTTCATTCAGTGGTATAAAAGGAGTTGCGGATAAGAGATGGGTACCCAAAAGCGTAACGTACGGACGTACAGGCAGACGGACGGACAGACAGAAGGACGGACAGATACCCCCATCGCTATACTCCCTTTTCAAGCGGGTATAATAAGCGATTTCACAGTGTTTATTTTCAATGTGTCTAAGTACTGAAGTACGACATTCTCCAACAGATTAATCACATTCGAGCATAAAACGAGTTTGATCGAATTGTGCCCAGAAACTGCCCTTCCATTGTCTGTAAATTTTGATATTTTCTCCTTCAGAACGTCTGGACCAATGATACAATGTAATTTTTTAAAAACTCTACATTCCCTCTTTTTGATAGGGCAAATAAATGTTTATAATTAAAATTAATGCAAAAAAGTAATATCATTTGTTTTTTTTCTTATTTATCATTGACGTAGAAATGATAAATTTCCATAAGGGTTCATTTCTGGTTCAAAAGATATCATATCGGTATTTGTGACGCATGCTAACATAAAAAATAGTATTCAGTTCATATACTATAATGATTCTGTTTCTCGGTATCATGTCTATTTCAAAAGGTAAAAGTAAACAAATTCCTTCTGTTAGAAAAAAAAATAGTAGAAAATTGAAAATGTCGGCTTGCATCAAATTCAATAAAGAGATTAAATTTTGAATGAAATTCTGATCAAAGATAAATTAAGTTTTAACAGATTAATGCTAAAAAGCAATCGCACGAAAACCATTATTCATTTGTTTCTTAGTATTAACTATTAGAAGAACTGAATTTGTGGTCCATGAAGCATTATCCACATGTACGTTAATTGTTAATAGTTCCTCGAGCACATAATTAAAGACCTTTCTTCCTATAAAGGTAAGAATTCAACATGTTGTTTGGTATCTGTAAAAACCGTTGGATTAAAGATTCTTTTTTTTTTAAAATAGCACATGGTTTATGCAAGAAGAAAATCTTTTTGTGAGGAAATCAGCAACTTTTCGAATCTAAAATTCGACAATGATCTCGAGTTTTCACCTGGCAATCTACAAGACAGTGCATTTGTGAAATTGCAAAAGCATGTTTCTCTCTCTTTTTTTCAATATTGTAATAGCAATAGCAAATGTATTCTGTATCAAACAGTACATTACAGCTGATAAAACTCTATATGATATTCTGGATGGAGTTAGGACTGGATGAAAGAGTTCTGTGGAGCATTTCATAACACATGTACCCTTTACAGTTTGGGAATCTGCCATTGGAGTCAACCCCCACCCCCACCTTCCGCCCCCACTCTATGAGTCCGACAATAAATGATATTTTGTTATCAAATATATCTAGAGGAGTTGGAAGATGTAAATATTGGATATCATGATAGAAATCTTTATACTGTAAATCATTTTTTATTCACGAGTACTTTATTTTTGCTTCATTACACGAGGCTTTCTGCTTGCAAAAATTTATTCTCGCGTATATTTTTATTATTTAAAATCATATATAACATAGATACATGTAACAGTTAAGAAAAATTCGTGAAAATTTTGTCACGCTTATAATTTCAGAATAATTATCTTGCAAAAAATAGGGTATCGCGAAAATGAGGTGAATTGCCGTATTTAATGAAATAAATTCTTTTTTAACATACTTCCCTAAATGAATTAAGCAATAATATACCATTGATTACATTTTTATGTGATATAAAGCAACCGGCAGGAAAATGAAAGAAGATTTATCCATCAACATTGGAGAAACATGTGATAAAAGAATATCTGACGTTTCTTAATCAGGGCTTTATCTCATTTTTTAAATTTCAGTCGCAATTAAGAAAAGAGAATATGTAATGTTGAAAAACATGCACGGATATTGTTATTTTCAATGATAACATTTAAAAATATAAACTTCCAAAAATAATTCCAATGATATTTAGATTTGATCCTTTGAGGATTTCCTTCAAATATGAATTAAATATAGCCTTTCAAAAATGCATACATATAGTGTGAGTTTATCGATAAAGTTAATGAAAATATTCATTTTCTTATAAAGAGATATGTCAAGATGGATTTAGTAGGGCCAGAATGGTAAACCTTTGTTTTACTCAGTTATGTTTTACTTATATGGGTTATTACAACGTTTTGGACGTGTGTAAAGAATGTTTGCGCAGAAATTCCACAATCAAGTCAAACGTGGAAGAGGGTTCTTTGGAAAAATTAAAATGTAAAGTCTTTGTTATAATAAAACAAGAAGTCCTGATGCCACAGCACTTGACCAGAGTCACCTTCGCCCTGCTGTTTTTTTTTTCAGAAAAGCAAATTAATGCAAATTATTTAATATATATATATATATATATATATATATATATATATATATATATATATATATATATATATATATAAATCTTTATTCCAATAAAAATGAACACATATTGTTGGCCCCACATACTCTCAAAAGGTTATGATATTATTATTAAACCAGATTCCACATATTGGGATGCTTCAATATCATTACGATTAACATGGCTCTGTTGTTCCCCATGAAAAAAAAGGATTTTTTCCCTGTACAAATGCATTAAGCGTTTTGATTTAAAGTAAACTTTTCCCGCTTTCAATCAAATAAACATACGGTCATGTATAATTCAATTTCAGTTATTTTCCTTGACAAATGTTGTTTAAACTACAGCCCTTTTGCCTACATTGTATAAAGAATAAGCCACTGCGCCCAAGTTCAACAAATCGTTGTCTTCATTATCAGACGCGACGTTCCCATGACTCTCACAGAAACTGTCGAATTTGCTGTAACTTTACCACCAGGTAAGCCTTTGACTAACAACAAGGAAGCGCCTCATACATGTCCAGTACGTCAAACTCCTGTATTAGAAAAAAAAGTGAAGACAACGAACGGTGACCGATCTAAAAAAAAACAAACCCTACAAGCAATTCAAAACTGTGAAGAGAGCATAAAAGACGGACCCCCGGAAATTCCAGAGATGGGATCAGGTGATTAGGAGGAGTAAGCATCTCTTGTCGCCCTGTCATACCCGCCATGAGCTAGCTCTATGTATTGATCAGATAGAATAATCTGTAGTAAAATTTAGTATAAAAACAAAGGTCTAACAATTGGTATGAAATACTTCTGTCGAAATACTACCCAATGATAGATTATATTTGCTAACAAGGTCATTATAACAGATCCAACTTAATTTAAACTAAAATAAAGTCTATTTTGGAAAACATTAGAGACTAGAATTAATTAGTGTAGCGCTAATGAAGCCAGGAAAAAATTACCGTTATCCTTGATTGACTGTCCATCCGTTATTTTCTGAAGCAGTAGCGAAATCATCTTTCAAAATATTATTGGTGGTGTCCTTAAGATGTCCGGAGGTCCATGTTTTATGCCCTGTCATAGATTTGTATTGTTTGTAGATTTTTTTAGATCGATCTCTGTTCGTTATCGTCACATTTTTCATGTACAATAAGGTTTTAGAATTTTCATTCTGCATCCTGGCTGCCAGTTACGGATAAAGAAAATAACGTTTTTCAACGAATACTTTCTTCCCAGAACTCCTCACATTTTACACAGTAGCAAAATTAAATTTTGGAATATGATTGGCGGTGTTCTGAAGATGTTAAATAGATTCAGAATTGTTTTTAATATTCTGGGGACCTTTATTAGGTGCTGGAAAACGATAACTCATTGGCTTGGATAGTCACCTGAGTGTTATGCTGCTCAATATAACAGAATTAGTATAATGACTAGGTTACCCAGATATGCAGATGCAACGTTTGTTTGTTTGTATGCTTAACGTCCCTTTGAGATTTTTCACTAATATTGAGACGCCACCACTTGCCAATGGAGGGCTGAAAATTTAGACCTATACTGGGAACTTAGGACGTTTGAGCAGTTAGGGATCTTTTTCGTGCCAGCAACACTACGATATGGGACCTCGGTTTATACGATCCCATTCTGCAGTCTGCACGTCCCGCACTGAGATTCAAAGCTGATCAACTCCATACTCTGTTACTCTAGAGCAAACGCTCTAACCACTACGCCAAGCCGACGAGGCAACATTTGCGTGAGCATCTAGATAACAGCAAGTAATTCTTTGGAACTTTTTAAAGATGATTACACTTTAGTATAAATACAAAAGTATTATTTTTACATGTTTTTATTATTTCATGTATCCCTCCTTCGTTGAAGTCAGCAGTGAAACCAACAGCAGACACTTTAAGGCGAGACTTAGTATATTCTCACTGATACATTTCGATGTAAATGTTTTAATTTATGTAATTGATTTTTTGCTAGCATTTGAAAATTTTCGACCTCATAACAACATTCTATGCAAAGTTTACATTTCACTGAAAGTTGAGGTTTAAACATATTGATGCTTAAAAGCTAATTGCATTTATATGAAAACCAATATCCATTATTTACTTAGTATTATTTTGAACCATATAAAACACCTGAAAAATTATCAACCCTGAAACATTATTTTAAAAAAGTTTATAATTGTTCCTCAAAAACATTATAATCTATTCATATTTCATAATTTTCAGCATGGTATTTGATTTTTCTATCCATGTCGTTGGAATCAAAATTCTTTTTATGATGGAATATGTTTTTTGCAACCAACAATTGTTATTTATCAGGATCAACAACCTTTCGAATTTGGAGTTTAATAATGAACAAACTCTCGACCCTTCGTCTGGCAATTTAGAGGATTGTGCAGTTCAATGTGAAATTACAAATACATGTCTCTCTTTTAACCATAATCCTAACACAAACGAATGTGTTCTGTTCAAAACAATACATTACAGCACTTTAAAATCTATAGGTCCTGGAGTTCCTGGATGGAATTACTTTATTAGGACTGGTGGTAAGAATTCTAGAAAATAAAGACAATTAGAACGTGTAAAACTTTTAGTTAAAGTATATGTCATTTGATATTTTTTTTCATATCACATACTATCCAATACACTGTACATTGTGACATCATGTGATATCTTCATATCAAATAAATGTGTGTTCAGAATTTGTGAATATTAGAGATCTAATAAATCATTCATAATTCAAATAATAAAATCAATTTTGATAATTAAAACACACTTTACTAGGTTGAAGGGATTTACAAATTAACGATAAAAATTCCATACTTTGCAATTTGATTTATTTTTAACAATTGATTCCGAAGTTTTCAGAATGAAATTAAAGGGGCATAGACACTTGCATTGTTGATTTGTTTTCAAGTTACATGTAAATTCCTCCATTTATTTGAGAAATATCGTAAGCTCAAAGAATGCATAAGATCAAGTAGTTTTGAAATTTTTCAGATATGAAAAGTATCACTCTTGCAACATGTAAGTCATGAAATTCTATCGCAAATTTTAAAAGATATTCAAATCTATGTATATGCCTCTTTAAAAATGAGCGTAAACAATATACAACATTGTGAATTTATCCATAGTTAAATCATTTTATTTCTGTTACAGGGAAATGTCAGGAAAGATTCAGTGAGGCCAGGATAATAAACCTTTGCTTCACTTTTATTGGATATTACAGCGTATTTGACGGTCGTAGAGAGTGTTCGCGCAGAAATTCCAGTATCATAGCTATCAGGTCTATGGAAGAGGGGGATCTTTTGGAAACTTTAATGTGTAAAATAATAAATAAATAAATAAAAAAGTAATAACTATGTTGATGATGATAAAAAATACGGATATATCTCTTTCTTTTTTAGGTAATGTTCATCTGAATATAATAATTTAATTATAATTTTACTTTTGATAGTAGACATCGCAATTATTTAAAAAACAAAACAAAACATTGGTATAAAATTTAGACGCACAAACTTTTTGTTACTAAAAAGCGCACCTAAGATAGTGTGTAATTTTAATAAGTCTTCTATGAAATATCTCTTTCACATATGGTATCGCTCATTAATTCATATCAGAAATTTTTAATGTTTAAATTAATCATTTAAGTCATCGTTTGGAAACGTAAGACGTTAAAAATTCTCGCTGAAAAAAAAAAATTAACATTCCAATAGCTGCCTTTCCCTTCATTTCACTTAAATAACAGTGTACATTTATTATTTCATAAATTCCGTTTACATCACATGTAAGTATAAAACACCCGTTTAAACCCAATCCTCACTATATTATGAGCTGCAATATTTATGTTGACATCTATAGCTCTTTAAACATCAGCTTAATTCAAAGCCGTGCTTTAGTTTACATCCGTGTGTTACATATTCTATTGCTGAACATTGTTTTTGTTTTACTCCAGTTTCTTTGTTTGACGAAATCAACAAGTCGAATGCAAACAAGCCATACATCCAGGGTATATGGAATGGAACTCACTGGCTATTGGATGATGGCAAACCGCTAGAATATACAATGAAGTGGTCAACAAACACAGACCTCAGTAAACTAGAATATGGAGACTGTCTTAGTTATTATCCAAGACACAATAAGATTGCATTCAGCAATTGCAAATCGTCGAGACCAATATTTTGTACGTATGATATATATTAAGTTGTAAAATTCTTTATTGTCAAATTTCCATGCCTATTTATCGAGTCTGATTAGTTGAGAGACATTTAATAATAAAAGTTGTTACAGAGTGCTATACATTTAATGCAAACTTCAAAAATTGGTTTTAGTCCTGGAAAGCTAATCCTAACAAAAATACTTTGGTAAACTATAGATAGTTTACTGTGGTAAGTTATATCATTTACCATAGTAAAGTGAAATATATGGAGATAACGAACAGTATTCAAGCTCAAAAGTCCATTAAACATCAGAAAATAGGTGCAGAACAAACACCGACCTCCAAAACATCAGAGGTGGGATCAGGTGCCATGGAGGAGTGAGCATCCCCTGCCGACCGGTCACACCCGCCGTGTGCTCCTTGTCATGATCGGGAAATAACGGAAAAAACCGTCGACAATTCAATGTGTAAATAATGGCCTTACAATTAGTATGAAAAACGTCAGTCAGCATTTGACTCAATGATAAATTGTATTTGCTGACAAGGTCATTGTATCGACCATAGAACTTACGAAATGATGACTTTAAACGAGACTGCTGATATTCTTGTTTCATCAACTTGTTTGTCAATAATTTACCTCGTTTTAGAAATTGCAATACGTAGAGCATGCTCTAGCGTATCGAATTAACTGAGAGATATAAACCCCGTATGCAGGTGATGAAGGTATATTTCTGCATAACGAAGGGAAGTTGAAGTTTGAAAAGTTAAAGTCATCAAGTATATCATAAAGCTTGGTTGTTAGATAACCATGAACGTCTTTTTCAAGTAAAATATCCAAATATGAAACAGATGTGTCAGACTCTGTAGTATCTTTTATCTCAAGCCCAACGGGATATATCGTATCGACATAAGAATGGAATATTTGTTAATTGACAATACATCGTCGATATATCTAAATGTCGCGTTGAAGGCCACAGCAAGTGTTTTCTTCTTATCACGTATAAGATTTTGGACAAATTTTGCTTCATATGAATACATAAAAAAGGTCTGATAATAACGGGGCGCAATTGGTACCCATGGAAATTCCAATAGATTGTTGGAAGACCTGGTCTCCAAAAAACAGCATAGATATTGTCTATCAGAAACTCAAGCATCTTTTTAATGTCAACTTCATTTACTTAAGTAATTCAAAACACCAAAGTATTTTACTATCGTTACTGAAAGAATCAAAGTTATACTATCGTAACTCAAAGAATCAAAGTTTTACTATCGTAATTCATAGAATAAAAGTTTTTACTATCGTAACTCAAAAATAAAAGTATTTACTATCGTAACTCAAAGAATGAAAGTTTTTAATTTACTATCGAAACTCAAAGACTCAGTTTTTACTATCGTAGCTTACACTAAAACAAAGTTTTTACCATCGTTACTCAAAGAACATTAGTTTTTTCGTTACTCAAAGAACCATCGTAAATCATAAAATCAAAATTTTTACTTTAGTAACCCAAAGTATCACAGAATTTATATAGTAAATCAATTTTTATTCTTGAAATTCACATTTGTTACATTTCATTAATTTCAATTATAAAACTGTTAATGGTTTCATATCTTTAAAAAATTAAAGTTTCTTACTGATTTAAATTCCCATATTAAATTTCAATATTATCATAGCAAAACAAAGCAAAGTATAAAAGAAAAGTATCTTATATATCTGAGTATATACTATAGTCAACTTTAGTTTTCTTTCGTAGCCTATAGTTAACTATAGTGATTTTTTGATAGGGATTAGATAAAAATGTGCGCAAGATTATCATGAACAATGATTCTCCCGATCGTATTTAAGTGATAAAAACTATGAACGTACGTTTTGTATTATACATAAAGCATTATTGTACAATTTTTTAACACCTTACTCAAAACAAAATCCATGAAATTTCGTAATTCTATAAGATAAGAAAGTAGTGAAAGAAATCAGGCGATCAGAATTGATCGCTAGTAAATTAAAGAGGGATAATTCCCGCACTGCTCTAATCAATATTTAATAATCACAGTACTTCTTTTTATGAAATCTGAAAAACACCGATTATTCGAATCTTAAATTCATATTCGAATATCAACCCATCGAATGAATATTCCATGCCATCCCTAGTAAAATGTGCTTGTACAGGCTTATCTTTTATAAAGAGAGCTGTAGCCATAATTATACAAAGTTCTAAAGAGAATAAATGAAAATCGAATGCGCTTCAAATCGGCAGGGCATCACTGTATAAATACATGTTCAATTACATCTACACGCAAGTGTGTTGTTCAAAATAGAAAGGCTACATGTAGGGATTAGATATCCCACAATTTATGAGACTTGTGCATATGCTTCAGACATAGAGGAATGGAGGATAGGTGGCATATTTTTTAAAAAAAGATATTTTAAATTACATTCTTCATAACAGCAAGAAGGCACACTTATTGCATGATTAAAAGGATTAAAACGAACGATAAGATCTTTATGGAAATTGTAAAATCTCAAACTCATCATGAAAACCAGGTCCAAGGATATGAGTTTGATAAATGTCACAGTTGTAATTTAAATTAAAAAGACATTTATGTTTTGCGGAATTTAAGTTCAGAATTCCCATTGGCTGGAACAGCCAATTAAATATAACCAGTTTTCCAGGTATGTAAGAGCTATGTACTAGTGCTTTGTACAGGTGAATTTTTATATTTGGTGCTGCTATACGTTTGACTGATCAGCGATCTACCAAGGACCAGTGGATTTCACTCTGTTCTAATTAATATGCATGTTTTACATACTCGTACTCTAGATAAAGTAAGAAACCCCCCATATACACCATCCAAGCCTTGTACCTTTACGGTAGCAGCAGATTGTCTATTTGTTGACCTTAGATCGATTGAACCTTAGATCGATTCAATCGATTTCTACAGTTTGTTTTTATATTTTTATACCAGATACTTGGTAAAATATAGTACATCAAACTTGTAATTCATTGATTATTAGCTAATTTTACCTGCAGTCTTGAAATATCAAAACGTTTAATGAATGTTTAACGTCTTTAGTTTTGTGTTTTGTCTATGTCTATTGCCTTTATGTGTGTTGAGAGAGTACATGTATTTCTCTATTTTGCAATTTTTTGATATCCATAATTAAAATACTGTCAGGGAACGAACCAGTTTTGTTTTTCAATTACGAAGCAAGACCATGACCCTGCAACATAACGGTATGTAGAACTGTAGTAGTTAAAAAAATCATTATAACTAGGAAATTATTCTTGACAAGAATCATACATTTTTGCATAACTTCAAATGAACATATCAATATTACGTAGTGCATGACATTTGGCCAAAGGTTCAAGGCCAGGGGTGTTTGGAAGTGAGAAAAAAGGCTTTGAACGCAATCTCTTTAATTGTCATCTGTTCGAATCTCGGCCGCGACTGACCTAAGTCGACAAAAAGTGGGTAGTAACTGTTCCTTCGCCATGCGCTCGGCACTTTGAAGTGAAAGTTGCGGGTCCTTCGGATGAGACCTTAAAAACCGAGGCCCCGTGTCACGGCAGGCGTTGGCATGATAAAGATCCCTCACTGCTCAATGGCCTTGAGTGCCGAGTAAAGGTCAAAATTTGAAGCCCTTCACCGGTATAAGGTGACGTCTCTATATGAGTGAAAAATTCTCGAATGGGACGTAAAAAACATACAATCAATCAATCAATCAATTAATTGTCATCTAATATTTCCATATATTTATCAGCATTCATGTTCCCATCCACTTTTAAAAGTCTCATATTTTCCTCTCTTTCCAGAGGTCCTCGATCCAAGGTCGGAGGCCTTAGAAGGTTCCCTTGGCATAGGGTCGCTTCTTTCATATAGTTGTTGTAAGATTAAAGTTCCGAATTAGTGAAGGATTTTAAACTTGAGAGTAAAAATGACCAATACAAATCCCAGCAACATGCTTGTGCGGGAGTCAGAAGAGGAAAGCTTTGATTTCGTTTTGTTCCGACACTTTCGGGGTTTAGAATTCAAAGTTCAGTCCTGGTGTTCCAAAACATGTACTTGTTGATTAGGTTTATTTGCAGGGCTTGGAGCTAGGCATCACTGATGTTTCCCTACATAGAATTTATTTGAAATTCAGATTTAATTACTGGATCTGTTACACTTGATGTTCGATCTACAATAACATTAGGTTAATTGTACCCTGCTCTCACTCTAGAATACTTATCAAAACTTTTTCCATCAGTAAATAGCTTTTCAGTTTCATTTCTAGCTCACCTGAGCCGAAGTGAGCTTTTCTGATCAAAGAGTGTCCGGCGTCCGTCTGTCGTCAGTGTCGTCCGTCGTCTGTAAACTTTTCATATTTTCGACTTCTTCTCAAGAACCACTTGGCCAATTTCAACCAAACTTGCCACAAAGCATCCTTGGGAGAAGGGGATTTAAGTTTCACAGGAAGTGCCTAGCCCTCTTTCAAGGGAGATAATTAAGAATTTTTGAAAAATTTGTGGCATCTTTTAAAAATATTCTTCTCTAGAACAACTGGACAAGAGAAGATGAAACTTATGTGAAAGCTTCATTACATACTCTAGATTTAAATTTGTTCATATCATAACCCCCGGAGGAAGGGCGGGGCCACAAGAGGGGGTCGGAATTTCATATAGGAAAAATCTTTAAAAATCCTTTTCTCGAGAACAACAAAGCCATAATTAGTCATATTATAATAGAAGTATCCCCAGGTAGTGTAGATTCAAGTTTGTTCCGATCATGACCCTTGGGGTAGGGCAGCCACTACAGGTGGTCAAAGTTTACCATAGGAATATATAGGAAATATCTTTAAAAATCTTTTTCTCGAGAACAGCAAATCCATGATTAGTCATATTATAATAGAAGTATCCTAAGGTACTGTAGATTCAAATTGTTCCAATCATGATCCTGGGGGTAGGACAGGGCCACAACAGGGGGTCAAAGTTTACCGTAGGAATGTATAGGAAATATCTTTAAAAATCTTCTCAAGAACAGCTAAG